AGACATCACAAAAGCTAAGAAGAGGAGGGAAGACAAAAGCCACTGGGGAAAATATACTAACAGAAATAGGACAGTAAACTCGACATAATTTCACATACATCAAAACAATATTGCTCTCTCTCCTACATCCTCTCTTGCACGCAGGCAGGCAGATGATAGTTTTCACACTCACACGCATCACTGATTAACAAATTCCACAATCAGCTCCACAAACATACCATCACATCCTCAATTTCTGCTGTTCCGATCCGGTGGCCGCTGACATTGAGAACATCATCCATGCGTCCAGTTATCTGGTAGTAGCCGCCAGGATGCCGGTGGGCCCCATCGCCAGTGTAGTACAACCCTGTTAAACCATATCATAAACTGGGCATTTACTGCGAGAATAACTGTGAGAAACAGTGTGAGACAATATTTCCAAACAGTGTCAGATAAGAACCTTTAAATAATCTTTACAATTAATGGCATATAACAAACATCAAATATTCTTCACAAAAAGTGTCTGATAACAAAAATCTATTAATTTTTATAATGTTCTCCCTGTGTGGAATACAGGGGAAAACAAGAATAGACCCACTACCTCCCTTTCAAGCATGTCATAGGAGTCAACTACTTGGCAGGGCTTTTTTTGAAGATGGAGTGCATCTGCCTGAGAGGCAAGGAACCAACAATCTGCATTTTAAAAAAAAAGGGTCATTACTGTAAAACAGATGCACACACAGCACTCAGGTGCTAAAACAAGACTAAAGTCCAGATGTGGGCAAACAATTAGAACTTTCTGAGACAGTTTACAGCCAATGAGTGCTAAGAAGAAGAAGAAGAAAGTGTCACATAATAAACATTAAATAATTGTGATATACAGTGCCAAAGAAACACCAAATAAACTGACAAAAAGTATCACTTAACAAACATCAAATAACTGTGACAAACAGTGCCAAAGAAACACCAAATAAATTGACAAATAGGGTCAGATAACAAACATTTAGAAAACTTCTCAAACTGTGTCAAATAAAACGACCATCTTCCCTGCCTTCAGGTGTCTTGGGCATAAAGTGCTTAAACCATTTTCTACAGACCAACTGGCAGCTGGTAGGTGATGTGGCTGCCTTTACCTCCCAAGTTTGTAAATGTACCCATTTATGGCTGAGTAAACCTGGAAGCCAAGGTTATTTTTGACAAAAATCTGGCTCCATCAGGTCCTGAACTTTTGACCTTCGGATCTGCAGGCGAACATCTAGCTGCTATATCACGACGGCGTCTAATCTCAGGTAACAAACATCAAGTAATCTTTATAAACAGTGTCAGATTTAAAAAATAAAATATTTATAAACAGTGTCAGAAAAAATGTCAAATAATGTTGACAAATAGTGTCACATAATAAACTTGAAAACTGTGTCCGGTAAACATCAAATAATGTTGACAAACTGTGTCCGGTAAACATCAAATAATGTTGACAAACTGTGTCCGGTAAACATCAAATAATGTTGACAAACTGTGTCCGGTAAACATCAAATAATGTTGACAAACTGTGTCAGATAAACATCAAATAATGTTGACAAACTGTGTCCGGTAAACATCGTTGACAAACTGTGTCCGGTAAACATCAAATAATGTTGACAAACTGTGTCAGATAAACATCAAATAATGTTGACAAACTGTGTCAGATAAACATCAAATAATGTTGACAAACTGTGTCCGGTAAACATCAAATAATGTTGACAAACTGTGTCCGGTGAACATCGTTGACAAACTGTGTCCGGTAACATCAAATAATGTTGACAAACTGTGTCCGGTAACATCAAATAATGTTGACAAACTGTGTCTGGTAAACATCAAATAATGTTGACAAACTGTGTCTGGTGAACATCAAATAATGTTGACTAACTGTGACCGGTAAACATCAAATAATGTTGACAAACTGTGTCCGGTGAACATCGTTGACAAACTGTGTCCGGTAAACATCAAATAATGTTGACAAACTGTGTCCGGTAAACATCAAATAATGTTGACAAACTGTGTCCGGTGAACATCGTTGACAAACTGTGTCCGGTAACATCAAATAATGTTGACAAACTGTGTCTGGTAAACATCAAATAATGTTGACAAACTGTGTCTGGTGAACATCAAATAATGTTGACAAACCGTGACCGGTAAACATCAAATAATGTTCACAAACTGTGTCCGGTAAACATCAAATAATGTTGACAAACTGTGACCGGTAAACATCAAATAATGTTGACAAACTGTGTCAGATAAACATCAAATAATGTTGACAAACTGTGTCCGGTAAACATCGTTGACAAACTGTGTCCGGTAAACATCAAATAATGTTGACAAACTGTGTCAGATAAACATCAAATAATGTTGACAAACTGTGTCCGGTAAACATCAAATAATGTTGACAAACTGTGTCCGGTGAACATCGTTGACAAACTGTGTCCGGTAACATCAAATAATGTTGACAAACTGTGTCTGGTAAACATCAAATAATGTTGACAAACTGTGTCTGGTGAACATCAAATAATGTTGACAAACTGTGACCCGTAAACATCAAATAATGTTGACAAACTGTGTCCGGTGAACATCGTTGACAAACTGTGTCCGGTAAACATCAAATAATGTTGACAAACTGTGTCCGGTAAACATCAAATAATGTTGACAAACTGTGTCCGGTGAACATCGTTGACAAACTGTGTCCGGTAACATCAAATAATGTTGACAAACTGTGTCTGGTAAACATCAAATAATGTTGACAAACTGTGTCTGGTGAACATCAAATAATGTTGACAAACTGTGACCGGTAAACATCAAATAATGTTCACAAACTGTGTCCGGTAAACATCAAATAATGTTGACAAACTGTGACCGGTAAACATCAAATAATGTTGACAAACTGTGACCGGTAAACATCAAATAATGTTGACAGTGTCCGGTAAACATCAAATAATGTTCACAAACTGTGTCCGGTAAACATCAAATAATGTTGACAAACTGTGACCGGTAAACATCAAATAATGTTGACAAACTGTGACCGGTAAACATCAAATAATGTTGACAGTGTCCGGTAAACATCAAATAATGTTGACAAACTCTGACCGGTAAACATCAAATAATGTTGACAGTGTCCGGTAAACATCAAATAATGTTGACAAACTGTGTCCGGTAAACATCAAATAATGTTGACAAACTGTGTCCGGTAAACATCAAATAATGTTGACAATAATCTCAGATAACATACATGGAATAATCTTTACAAATAGTGTCAGATAAACATCAAAAGATTTTTGACAAACAGTGTCAGATAACAAATATCAAATATTTTTTTTATAAATAATGTCAGTTACCTGGCACAGGGCTAAAGTATGTATTAATGTATCTTTCATGATCTCCGTGGATGGTCCTGGCTATACCTGGCCAGGATTTGCGTATACAAAGACTGCCTGCCGCATCGTCTCCTTTAATTTCCCGACCCTGATAAAGGACGAAAGAGAAGCAGAACAAAGTTATTCTGATTACAGTCATAAACTACATGGAGGTGATGGGTCAAGGTCAGATCTGTGATGACTGAGCGGCTGAGAATGAATAACAGGGCTGGTGGTCAAAGTCAGATGTCTTTTTTCAAAGCATCATTGTTGAGCTTGCACATGCAACTAGGCAATGTGATCAACTAGACAATGTGATCAACTAGACAATGTGATCAACTAGACAATGTGATCAACTAGACAATGTGATCAACTAGACAATGTGATCAACTAGACAATGTGATCAACTAGACAATGTGATCAACTAGACAATGTGATCAACTAGACAATGTGATCAACTAGACAATGTGATCAACTAGACAATGTGATCAACTAGACAATGTGATCAACTAGACAATGTGATCAACTAGACAATGTGATCAACTAGACAATGTGATCAACTAGACAATGTGATCAACTAGACAATGTGATCAACTAGACAATGTGATCAACTAGACAATGTGATCAACTAGACAATGTGATCAACTAGACAATGTGATCAACTAGACAATGTGATCAACTAGACAATGTGATCAACTAGACAATGTGATCAACTAGACAATGTGATCAACTAGACAATGTGTTCAACTAGACAATGTAATCATGGAAAGGCACACCACAGAAGCCAGAGCAAGTTCAGAAAATTGGAGGAGGAGAAGATTGGAGCACCTATGGATCTGTCCGGAGTGCTGTGATGATAATCCTTTCTAATCACTAATCACCACAGAGGCCGGGGTTGTATAGCGACTAGAAGATGGCCTGCCTGCGCAAAAGTCTTCATTCAAATTGATTGGTTTGTCCCCTTCTGCACTGACTTTGCCTTCCAGGTAGAACCAACACAAACTGGGTACCAGGTCATGGCCTGGCAAAGATGGAACAAACAAAACTATTCTTCATGGGTCACCCCTTTCCAGACACTCATCTTTCACATATCAATTGTATTTTTATCTACAAAGCAGGTTATGTTCATACTGCAAAATACACAGAGTTAGTCTAGGGTGAAAAAATACAAAAGCATGGATGGCAAATGAAGTAAAGGGAAAAAAAGACAGAATTGACCTTATCTACTGAGCACTCACCTAGTAAGTTCCAACTGGCACATACAAATGTGTCTTTAATCATATATATATATATACCTGTTATGTCACTGGTGTAAAAACAGTCCTGTTTTTTATTTTACTTAACTTGCTTACGGGTACGCATGATTTGGGAAGTGGTAATTTTGTTTTAATCTCAGTAGGAAAACAGTGTGCCTATTTCAGTAGTGGATATGAGGTCTCCACAATCAGACACAATATGATGCAGATTTGAACAAAAGACCTTTGGGCTAGCAAGTCTGTAATGAACCGTTTTCTCTACGATAAGAGAATATTTGGGACAGATTACTTCTTCTTCTTCGTTCAAGGGCTGTGAATTCCGGGGGAAGATCCCGGTAGTTCGTCCATTTGGACTTTTGGCTTTTACCTGGACCCGAGTTTTATGTGTACATCCGTTTTACTGGCTTATCTGTTTGTCGTTTCCTGCCTCATTTGCAGATGTACTCCAACTTCCAGGGAAAAGAGACAGATTACTAATCATACATTATGTCAGATTACTGATCATAATTTATGCAGAAGGCTGAATGGACAATAACCAATAACTCCGAAAAAGGCGTGGAGTTGGCAGTTGTAAGTGGTCATGTGAGAATATGAGAATGCATGAGCTGAAACTTAAAAATTCACTGGTGAGGGAGTGAGTGGTTTAGGACAGACTATTAGGGACCCAAAATGTGAGAATGGTCAGCATTTGGAATGCAGAGTCGTGAATGTTTTGTGAATGAATAGTTGAGTGTATGCCTAATTGGCTAACCACATTGAGAAACCTGACTGTAGTACATCATCTACAAATGGCTACATGAGTTCTGTCCGATGTTAAAGTACTGACTGTAAATCCTTTGGGCTAAGTGTGCTGTTGAAAGATCGAAAGAGTCAGATGTGCGATTATTTCTTCAGGTAGTCCATGCAACGTATCTCCGATTTGCAGAACTTGACTGTAAAGCAACTCCTTGACATTTTGACCTCTGGTGTGCATTGATCAAGAAGAAAGCTTCATGGCAAAATAAACAGTTTCTGGGTTATTGACATTTCATCCATACTCGGGTACACGTTTCATCATTAATGTACCTTGAGAAGGCATGCAAGCACTGAGCCACCAAAAGTAGTGCATTGCAGAGTCTTCTAAGAACTTGGCACAAATTGACTGAGATGAGAGCCTATGCTTCACTGGGAGAAGAAAGGCAAAAAGCAGACCATCTGATCTTACCTCTGGATCCACAAGAGCCAGATCTATTCCAAGCATTGGTCTCATTGGCATTGCTGGTTTAATCTCCGCACCAATTTCTGAAGGTCGAGGACTTATGCAAATGCCACCAGTTTCTGAGGACACAAGAAAATGTGTTTGCATTCTAAAGGAGGAACGGCTGGCCGAATGGTTAGAACACTGGGCTCTCAAGCGGGAGACACAGGTTCGAATCCTCGGTAAGGCTGCAGATTTTTTTCTGTTGGAGGTAAAAAGAAAACCCTCACCTGCACAGTCATGGCAACAGCACTAGCCATGTCATTAATAAATCCTTAGGCTCAAAGAACCCCCCCTCTCCACCCTCCCCTCTCCACCCCCCCCCACCCCCCCCCCCCCCCCAACACAGCAAAAGTGGTAAAATAAAGGCAGTAGTTGGCATTCTACAGTTTATGTGGATTTCTGTCTTGTTGTGAAGCTAACTACAAAAATGCTGCCCCAATATGGGTTATAAGTTTTTGTTATTGTAAAGCCCCACTCCAGCTGTTGTCGATGGGCCAAACATAACCTAACGACTAAATAAGGTTTCTGGGATTTGGACCCAGGTGATACTTATATGAATGGTGGCACTTTGTGACACAGGGTGTTTATCACTGGTTGTGCGGCCCTGGTGGGGTTGAACTTCATTCAGTTGTGTAGCTGTACTTTGCCTCTGCTCTGCATCCATAATAAACAATAACAGAGATGACTCACAAGCAATCAGAACATGATTGCTCCTAGCAATCAATACATTTATCACCTAGAAATTAATTATCACCCAGCAATCATAATCATTTTAAAAAAATCACCTAGAAATTAATCAATCAATCACCCAGCAATCACAATCAGTCAACTGATCCCCTAGTAATCAATCAATGAGGTACCATTTCCATCATGACGGTTGGCTCCTAGCAATGCAGACTAAAAATATTTTGAGGCAATCATTTTTTTTCCCTTAAAAACTCAGTGTAGGTTCTGAGATCTCATTTGGGAAAGGCGGAGGAAGAGATACAATCACTGCCCCTTAAGGAATTCAAAAGTCTGCCAGAATCAGATGTTTCGGGCAGAAAAGCATAGATATCACAGCCTAGCTGTAAACCCAAACTCACCATTTCAACTGCCCTTTAAAAAAAAATTACTATCTAATCATGAAGTGAATGTAAAGTGTGGCCCCTTTTTTCACACAATTGGCACATGGGGCATAAGGGCATTAACCCTGTCACCCAGAGACAGTAGGTTTTTCCAACTTTCAAAGGTTTTCCATGACATGAAATCTTTGGACTGAGGCCAATATGCCTGTATAAACAGCTTTTGGTAACAGTTGTTCCACAGTCTGTAGGCATGGCGGGCACGATCATAATAATACCCCCCCCCCCCAATCCCCCCTCCACCGGCCCCCCAAAATTTTTGTTGGATACTATTTGAGATGGAAAAACAAATTTGATTTTGTTGTGTCATTGTGAAATTATAATGAACTGATGTTGTTTTTTGTTGTTGTTGAAAACACAGTTTACAATATTTCATATACATTTACAAAAAGCAAAAAAATGGTTAAAAATGATGACCTGGTACCTACATTCCACCAACGTTTGAAAGAGAGTAGAACAAAGCAGGAGACAGAAAATGACAGGGGGTAAGGAAAGGAGGGGCCATTCATAATTATTTGTTGGTGGTGTTGGTATCCTGTTATGATAGTGGTGATGATGATATGGTTACATCATTTATAAATTTGTTACAGACTTTAGAAAAACAAATTAAGCGTGGTGATAATGATGCATATTTAGATTGACCTCACATCTCACCAGCATTTGACAGTGAAGGAGAAAGGGAGGAAGAAAAGGACCAGGGAGGGCATGAACTTACGATGCTGCTTTATGCTCTATAGCTGTGTCAACAAAACCCCCAACAGTCCGCATATATATATGTCAGATCTGTAAAATGGATGTGCACACAGAACTCAAGTTCTCCAACAAGATCAAAGTCTAGAAAGGGATGAACATCCAGAACTTTCTGCCAGAGTTTACAGCTGGCGAACCCTAAGAAGTAGAAGGAATAAGTATCTGGATAATTACCTATTAACTGCAAACTCACCAGTCTGCCACCAGGTATCAATGATGTCACAGCGCTTCTCCCCGACAACCTCGTAATACCACTCCCAGGCCTCGTGGTTCAGAGGTTCTCCAACTGTGAAACAAGGTCAATATAATTACTTCTACAAAAACCCAAACATGTTGGCCTTGTATTTTAAAAAACATGTGGTGAAAGCTTCTCTGTGATCAAACGACCAGTGTAGAGAATCCATACACTGACAGACAAATTCAGCATGGGGGTGAGCAGAAGTTCTGTAAGATTTTCAACACTGAAGTGGGGGGGAGGCACATAGGTGAACTTTTAATTAGGTTGCCACTGTTACTATTAGCATGTCAACTCTTCTCTGGCTACTGAGGAGAGAGACGGAACATGTCTGCAGAATGTCCCAAGTGCAGTAATGTCAATTCTTGATTCAGTCTTTCATGAATTTATTCATTCATTTAGGGTTAATTCATTCATTCATTCATTATATAAACAAACTATTGTGAAACAATATTTTTTCTTCTTCTTACTATAGACCAAAAGGTCCCCAGCCAACTCATACCTTCATCTTATTTCGGTATCTCTTTTAGGCTGGGTAGACATGGAAGCCAAGGTAATTTCCGGGAAGGAAAAAATCCAACTCAATGTAGATTCAAACATTTTACCTCTGGGCTGGCAGATGAAGAATCTAGCCACTGCACCACCTTTGCTCGCTAATGGAACATATGCTAATATTTGTGAGCTGAGTGGTCTCGAGGCATGGCTGGAGGTCCCAGGTTCAGGCCCGGGAAAGGCTGGTATTTTTTCACATAGACCTCTACTAATTTTCCCTGGTCTCTGGGTACTACGATCGGACGCCTGTGTGTATTATTGCGCATATAAAAAATTCCTTGACAGGTGGAAATTGAAAAGAATAGCCCAATGGTGCTGCCCGGGCAAAATATAGAGTTTAAAATCCACCCAAAGTATTTCAGGATCCTCGCCGGTGCTACAGAGTTCGTGCACTGCGCTGAAATTTTTCGAACTCAGGTTTGAGTTAGAAGTAGAACAGAGCACTTATGTATGCCATCGAGTTGATCTGTTGTATAAACTAAACTAGAACATATGCCCACAGATAAATTGCATACTAAACCAGGGATCTGGCAGACTCTCAACACTAAAGGGAAAGGCAAGATGGATATCCAATCAGACTGTTACTGATGCATTTAGAATTGGAACTCTGCGCATACTGTTGAAGATTGGGGATGAAGCACTTACGGGAACATCCCGAGTGCTGTGATGTCAATTTTTAATTCAACGTTCAGTCTTGTGCTAACCATCTTTAGTTACAGGGTCGTTTATGTTTTTGCCTGGTTCTGAGACCGTCAGTCAATCATTCCTGCCACAGCATCAAATTATTATTACATCTGGAATGAGTAGACATCCCACTGTGACAAACGAAAATTAATGAAATAAGTCCTACCACAACCAAGCTTGCAAAGTGACGACCTGTCGTATTTTGTGACATAACTGTCGTCAGCTTTCAGTAACAATATAATCGAAGCCCCGGCCAGACAGAGGTGGTTTTACTTAGACGGCAAACACACCTCACCCTTACAAAGCAAGAAAAATTAAACATTTCCTACCACAACCAAGCTTGCGAAGTGAAGACCTGTCGTATTTTTTGACATAACTGTCACCAGCTTTCAGCAACATTCGTAGTGAGGTCGGAGCCAGATAGATGTGGTTCAGCTTAAGTCTTTCAACCATTTCCCAGTAGCGGCCTGAAACAAAATGTAAATGCCAAAGCTTGCAATAATAACAAACCATCATTCAAACCAGCACTGTCTGAAACAAAATGACAAACACTAAACAGAAAATCTGACAAAAACAAAAAACTAGATATTTCTTTAAAAAAAAAAAAACAGAACAGAATCCAGTGTGAACAGAAACAAAGTCATCCTTTGTTAAGCATTGAACCTGGACCATGAATGTGAAAAGTAAATGTGCTTATCTACAGCAGTACTAATGTTTCAATTATCATCATCAACATAAATTACTTCTGCCGTTAAGCAACGTTAGGAGGAATAATTTGTGATCCAGTATAGATTGACCGGCACTCATTCCTGTCATACCGTGTTGTTGTTGTTGTTATCGATCCATCGGCGCATGAGCTTTGGCTCTTTGACCCATACCGTAAAGGCGTAAAGTGTCTTTAATGTTGTCGATCCCTAATTTTGGTGTAGCCATCCTCTTGTTCTTGTTGCTGACCTTCTGAGAGGTAGTGCCTGTGATGGTATCTTATGTTGCTGCATTTCAGTCAAAGTACCATTTATACATATGACCTTTCACAGTCAATCATTATGCTACATAATTCCCATATCCCCCCCCCCTTTTTTTTTTTCTATTAATAAATAACACATCAGGTTTGTCATCCCAATTCCCTGAAGATTTAATCATGATCATATTATTCTTAATTCCTAGTGGCATTTATGTTGAGTTGGGTCAACAATTGACATTACCCACCACGCCGGCATGGCCTAGAGAAAAGATCTAAAGTATGCTCACTACCTGCGACCTTCCCAGTGAAGCTTGCCACTCTGCTCGAAGCATCCCTGTCTTCACCTTTCTCAGCATGCTTTCAAAGTCGGTTACAATTACAAAATGTGTATGCATCTTGTTCTGTAGCCACCGGAGAGCTGCAGTTACCGCCTCCACCTCCATTCTCATGCTAAATGTTGTGATGTTGCATGCTTGGCTGTCTTGCACTAAAGATTTTCCATTGGCTTTCGCTACAAACCCCCAGGCACTTCGCTTTTGTCTCAACACCATCATCTGTATAAATAATCAGAACACCTGGGCGTGAATTGTCGTGAATCAACTGTTAGATTTCCACCTCCGTAGCACCAGCTGGCCACTCTCTGCACTCCTGGCCTAAAGTGGCATTTATGTGTGAACTGTTAGCCCTTCTGACACATGGAAAGGGGTTGGGGGGAAAAAAGGGGTGGGGGGGATGTTGCTGATTCCGTTCCTCATCGACCAGAAAATTATCGGGTTATATTTATACAGAACCCACTTTTATGAGGCTGAGTCAACTCTAGAGCCGTACTGGTCAGGCAAACAATCCTGCCTCTGCTAGGACTGAACCTGAACAACTGATGTTAAAGGTTACAGATGAGAGAATCAACTGAATTACTTCCACGTTATCCCACATAGCTCGGTGTGTCTCCCTGAGCAGCTAGCCACCTGCTGAGTATACTGCACAAAGCAGGAACTCTGCAGATCCAGCAATGATTCCCCCCAGGTATCTCCATTAAAATAGCACTTGTAAACTGACTGGGTCCAAAAATTGAACCTAAGACATTCAGAGTGTGAGGCAATGGCCTGACCACTTTGCCACAGAGACCACTGATTAGGTAAACTAGTAAAACAACCACAATAACATGGCAGCTGCTAAATGAATAACTATTCTGATAAACATGTCACTCCTGACCCAGTTAACACAAGCTACTGATAAAGAGTTGAAATGGCAGTGGGGCAACTAATGGACGGAAGTAAGCAGCTTGTGTGGAATACAATCAGGCACACAGAACAGGGTGCTGCACTTGTGCTGACAGGCTAAAGGCACACAGAACAGGGTGCTGCACTTGTGCTGACAGGCTGCAGGCACACAGAACAGGGTGCTGCACTTGTGCTGACAGGCTGCAGGCACACAGAACAGGGTGCTGCACTTGTGCTGACAGTCTGCAGGCACACAGAACAGGGTGCTGCACTTGTGCTGACAGTCTGCAGGCACACAGAACAGGGTGCTGCACTTGTGCTGACAGGCTGCAGGCACACAGAACAGGGTGCTGCACTTGTGCTGACAGGCTGCAGGCACACAGAACAGGGTGCTGCACTTGTGCTGACAGGCTGCAGGCACACAGAACAGGGTGCTGCACTTGTGCTGACAGGCTGCAGGCACACAGAACAGGGTGCTGCACTTGTGCTGACAGTCTGCAGGCACACAGAACAGGGTGCTGCACTTATGCTGACAGGCTGCAGGCAAGCACAATATCTATCAAGTCAGACCAAGTATGTTGTACAGCAGAGAGGTGTTCCTAATTCATGACATACAGTATTATATAGACATACTAGACCAGAACTTTATCATGATCACAACTGATACATTATCAGTCTGTGATAAGACACCCAGTTTCTGTATCAGGCAAAGGCATGTAGAGCATTGCTTCAAAGTCTATTCTGCACTATCTGACTTAACTCAGCGTTCAACATAATCTATGTTTTCTGTTTCTAAACACACAACATTCACCCTGTGGGGGTTCTCTGGCTCTATTTTAAAAGAAAAAATTAGACTAAAGTCCTGGTGAAAAGTAACTTATTAAAATTTTCCTGAAATTAGATGTGTTGGACCAAAATGAGCAGATATTATCACCTAGGTGTAAACACATGCTCATGAGGACAAACGCAGAAGAAGAAGAAATATAAAGCGGCTCAAACGTATACCAATGTCAGTATCTGTGAGTTTTTGCAGACCAATGGTGGAATAGTAATTAGTGTAATGCCTCCAAGACACGAGTCTGGATTCAATCCACAGCAAAGGTCGGATTATTTGTTTCTGACTGGAGGGACTTTTGAGGTCAACCTTGACTTATTTCTTCTTTTTTCTTCTTCTTCGTTTTACCTGACAAGGTCAGTTGACTTAATGTGTTGTTCACAGCTAGGCTGTGATATCTGTGCCTTTAGGCTCAATGCATCTGATTTCAGCAAATCGTTAATTAGTCCGTTTTTATAGCATGCTTGTTAAGCGGCAGTGGATCTATAATACCCCCCCCCCCTACACACACACACACACTGAGGCCACAGAACACACATGGGGAGATTCTGCCATGTAACAATTTGAGTGAAGTGGTTTCCTAACTAACCAGGGCTCAGAATCCAAACAGCCAAAGAAGTAAAGTGAGCAAAGAACAGGCAGAGAAAAGAACTAAGGAGAGAATGAGTTTACCCTTTCGCCTAAAACTTCCAGTTGGGTCAAATTCCCTGTAAATGTCACTTTTCTGACTTGTCTTTAGTGACCTGTTTATGTCACGCAGTTAACCCTATTGGCAGAGTTTGCACCTATGCAAACATTTAGGAGGCCAAGATATGAAGACATTAACTGAACACAGCATTTAGGGGTTTTCCTTTCAGTCAAACAGCTTCTTTAAAAGTAAGCTGATGTTAAGTTTTCCTGTAAACCTCATTGATAGAGGTGTCGGAGTCACAACATAATTACTGATACATATATTTTTTTTTAGGTACTGGGAATGTATTTAATGTATTGCTTCATCCTGTTCATGTTTATTAAATACTTCAAATTTTAAAAAAATTTACAATATACAATTAATAAATTGTTTATGATTTCCTTAGTGACCTGTGTGGTGACAGCAGCTCTGGCGTTGCGAATGCGCTTCATAATGCCGGGGTGCCGGGTTCGTTCCCAGCTGCCAGCCTTGCACCTTGCGTCGGTTTTGACAGTGGTATCGAGAAGCCGACTATCCAAAAAGCAATGGCAAACTACTAGACGTAAACTTGCCTAGAAAAACCATAACAGCAAAAAAATGCTGGGGTTGGTTCTGCAACATCCTGTAAAGGATACGCAACTAACATTTTAGTGACCTTTATACAAGTGGTTTGTTTTTGTAAGCATTTTTGTGGAATTCTTACAGAGTCATGACTAATATACAACTGGGACTTTGAACATTTTTGTAAGTATTTTTTCTGGAATTTATCAGTCATGACTAATTATTTTAGTGTTTCCTAATCTCAGTGAAAACATGGTGAAGGTAAATGAAAGATGCTAACTATATCTCAGTGAAAACATGGTGAAAGTAAATGAGTTAAATGATGCTAATTATATCTCAGTGAAAACATGGTGAAGGTAAATGAGTTAATGATGCTAACTATATCTCAGTGAAAACATGGTGAAGGTAAATGAGTTAATGATGCTAACTATATCTCAGTGAAAACATGGTGAAGGTAAATGAGTTAAATGATGCTAACTATATCTCAGTGAAAACATGGTGAAGGAAAATGAGTTAAATGATGCTAACTATATCTCAGTGAAAACATGGTGAAGGTAAATGAGTTAATGATGCTAACTATATCTCAGCTAAAACATGGTGAAGGTAAATGAGTTAATGATGCTAACTATATCTCAGTGAAACATGGTGAAGGTAAATGAGTTGAATGATGCTAATTATATCTCAGTGAAAACATGAAGAAGGTAAATGAGTTGAATGATGCTAACTATATCTCAGTGAAAACATGGTGAAGGTAAATGAGTTTAATGATGCTAACTATATCTCAGTGAAAACATGGTGAAGGTAAATGAGTTTAATGATGCTAACTATATCTCAGTGAAAACATGTGAAAAATGAGTTTAATGATGCTAACTGGTGAAGCACTGTAGATGAGTTTATTGCCTCGTTGTAAAGAGATTTATCTGTGTGAACCAACCATGTGCAGCAGATGTGAAAAACGTTAAAGGCATGTGGCCAAATTAGATGATAGCTTGGATTTCATTCGTTTAATATCCTATTGTGCCATTCAGTGACACATAGGGCTCGTAGTCTATTTCTCTATTTCATTCTACCTTGTGCAACCACTTCAATATTCCCCGTGTGGGTTTCGGAGTTGCTCCACTGTGCAACAAGCATGTCCTAGGAGTCGACTAGCAAGAGCCTCCTCCTTCGAGGTCAGAGTGCATCTGCCTGAGCGGCATGGAACAACTAACTGCACACAAATAAGCCAGTAAAATGGATGTACATGCAAAACTCTGACCAAAGTCCAAATGGACGGATAACCAGGACTTTCCGCCAAAGCTTACAGCTGGTGAACAAAGAAGAAGAAGAAGACTTCAACATCTTGGACGGAATCCAGTCCAGCACTTTTAGCCTCTCTCATCAGGGTTCATCTGAGGGTTTCTCCTGGACTTTTGTTTTTATTTCCCATTTCAGTGCCTGTTTCATGATCCTCCGTCTCTTCTAAGAATGTGTCCTATAACATTAGCCCCCTTGTCTCATAACTGTGGATGCCGGTGTGTTGGGAAATGAGCAGGCAGATAGACTGGCTGTCTCTGCACCACTTGGTGGTGAATTGGTGGATGACAAGTTACATGTTGTGAAGGCCCTTTGGAAGCGAGTAAACAGTGTGGAGGTGCAGACAGATCATTACAGTCTAAGGAGAATGGCGCTGCAAGGAGTTCCCAGGGGATCTGGCTGATGCTCAACACTCAGGGGAAGGATGAGACAGATTTACAATCAGACGGTTACTGGTACCATCGGAATTGGAACTCTTCGCTTGCTGCTGAAGATGGAGACTGAGCACATAAGGGAGTGTCCCGACAACTGTGATGTTGATTATTAATTCAACATTCAACAACAACATTCAATAACTTTGGATACCAGTGGTTGTCCAGACATTTCTCTTATTTCTCCACCCGTCTCGAGTTCATCCCATTTTATACAACCTGGATTCTGTAACTTTCATTGCTGGAACTGTAGAAGTTTGACCGCTTGCCCAATGTTTATGTGTTCAAAATACCTTTGAGGCAGGTTTTGTAACTTACACGGGCTTTCAGGTCAAAATGGGTACCAGGAAATTATGTGGAAAATTAAGGTGGCTGGCTTGACTTTGATGACATCACTAATTGAGAATTGCAAAAAGGATTGCATTCTAAGGAATTTGGGGTCCTCAACATAATATAGGGCTAGAATCAAATGTCTAATAAGCCTCAAGGTGCGACAGGCAGATTTTTTTTTTTCAACTTTCTCAAACAAGGTTTGTCAGGAGATCCTCATGAAAGAAAAGTATTACATGAAAATCATAGCTTATTACTGTGAACAATCAGTGTCATTTGCCTAGTGCAGATTCGAACATAAGACATTTGGGCCAGAAGGGAAGCATCTAACTGCTATGCCACAGCTACTCCAATTCTACACATTAACACAAATGAATCAGTTGAGTTGACAGGTAATCGCCACAACACAAGTGCTCACCTGGGTCAGGGTACAGTGGTGTGCTTTCAAAGAGGAGAGAGGTGCCTCCATTCGACAAGGGTCCATACAGGGCATAAGAATGTCCTGTGATCCAGCCTATATCGGCCACACACCCAAACCTCTCCCCCGGCTGGAAGTCAAACACATGCTAGAGCAGGACAGAGAAAATAATTAGTCTAGTGTTCCCATCTGGTGGTTCATAGATCCCTGACGGCCCAGGTAACAAACTTATGGGTTCCATGATTATATTTACAAAAAACAAAACCTCTACTTTAGAATACAATCCTCCCCGTGTGGGTTCCGGGGCCCCATCGTGGGGAAAACAAGAATAGACCTTCTGCCTACCTAAAAGCATGTCGTAAGAGTCGACTAATTGGGGAGCTTCCTTTGAAGTCGGAGTGCATCTGCCTGAAAGGCAAGGAACCAACAGTCTGCATTCAAGTGAATAAGATCTGTAAAACTGATGCACACGCAACACTCAGGTTCTGGAGCAGGACTGCAGTTCAGAAGTGGACGAACAACCAGAACTTACTGCCAGAGTGTACAGCTGGTGAACGCGAAGAAGAAGAAGAAGAAGAAGAAGAAGAAGAAGAAGAAGAATACAATCCTTTTTATTCTAATATTTATAAATTATAATAAAGTGTTCAAAATGTAACAGAGATTCGATATGCCAATGATACAGTATTGCTGTCAACATCACAGACTGGTATCATCATCAATCAGCAAGTCCTTTACAGAATGTCGCTCTCTTCACGGCACCCTGAAAGTATCCCTTTCCCTAGCTATCTCTCCGGCCCCATGTGCTTTCAATGCCAATGCATCTTCAATGTCTTGTATCCATCTTTGCGGTGGTCGACCCCTGCCTTGCCTTCCGTAAACTGGACCTTCCATCACTGTCTTTTCCAAGCCATTATGACGCTTGATGTGGCCAAAATACTTCAACTTTCGGGTCAGGATGCTGTTTATGAGCCAGTTCTCCTTGATGTTCAACTCGTTCAGAATGTCGATGTTTTCCTCTTCCTGATCCATGGTATTCTAAGAATTTTTCTATATCATTTCATTTCAAAAGCTAGTTAGAAAACTTCATAACCTCAACGCAAAGAAATAGTAAAAATCACAACTTAAAATATAAGTTGTATCTTAACATAGCAAAAACAAAGATAATGCATACAGATAAAACTTCCATGGAGAAAGAAATATGTGTTAATGAGGAAAGATTGGAGGTTGTGGAAAATGTTTAAATATCTTGGGTCACTGATTATCAACAATGGTGACACAATGAAAGAAATTAAATATTGACTATCAATTGCTCTTAAAAGACTAAAACAGCTGAATAAATTATTTAATCGGACAGACAAAACTACAAAATTAGATTTCTAGGAGCATGCTTCTTTCCCATTTGCATGATATGCCTGTGAGACATGGACACTTACTACTGAACAGTGCATAAATGCCTCTGAATACAAATGTTATATACAGGTTTTAAGAATATCATGGGTAAAGAAAAGAACAAATGCATCCATACTTCAAGAACTGAATACTGAAGAAGGTTGGCTATTAAAGACCATAAAACACACAAAAATTGAAATATTTTGGTCATTTGAAATGTCACGAAAGTTTTAAGAGAACAATAAGGGAGGAGTATATGCCTGGGACGAGAGGAAGAGAAACGCCGAAGAGAAGCTGGTTGCAGGACGTGGCAGATGATCTCCAGATGGGTGTATCGGATGCAGGACATCTTGCCTGTGATCGAGAAGTTTTCCTGAGGGTTGTTATGGGAGCAAGGTTCTGCAAAGGACATGCTACTGATTGACTGTTCAGCATGACTATTAAAAAGTATAGAGCCTGTGTAACATCTTCGGAAAAAAGAGAGGGGTCTGCAGGTTTTAGGTGACTCGGCATAATTATCAATCAGCATGGCCTTTACAGACTTTCGCTTTCAAGGCGACATCTGAAAGTCTCTCTCTCTCTCTCTCTCTCTCTCTCTCTACCTCTATTTCTCTCTCTCCCTCTCTTGATGGTGTCGCTCCATCTCTTTCGTGGTCTTTTCCTTGTTCTGTGTTGCTTATATTTCTTCAGCGTGGCTGTCTGTGGCAGTTGGTACTAGGGCATTCTCGTCAGGTGGCCAAACCATCTCATTTTTTGTTCTTCAATGAACTGTATGACTGGTTTCAGTCCTAGTCCTCTTCTAATTTCTTCATTTCTGAATTTATCTCTTCTTCTTATCACAGCGGCAGCTCTCCTAATACATCTCATTTCTGTTGTTATGATCTTCCACTCATCAGTTGTAGTAAGGGTCCATGTTTGGCACAATGTCAGCCAAAAAACCTTTCTTATGAGATCAGCTTTGGTTGACAGAGGTATCTTTCTATGCGTCAGAAGCAATGTTAATTGTCCCATAACCTCATTTGCTTTCGCACATCATATGTTGACTTCTCTATCCATTCTTTCATCTGAGGTAAAAAAAATTGCCCTATTATCTAGATGGCCAAATGAGCTAGGTATTTACCTCTGTGCTCTGCTTCCATCAATCCTGCCAGTTGTAACGAAATTCTCAAGTCCATTCCTTTTCATAAAACTGAGAGGGACAGACACATAGATACAGAAACAGACAGATAAGTTGGCAGTTAACTTGTTCAGTCCAATAAGATTGCCTAACAACCACTTCGCCACAAGGAATAATGCATGTGTGCATTACTTTCATGGTAGCACCATATAACTTAGAAAGTAAAACTGTATACTGTGTTGAATTTTAAAATAATGGGTCTAATGTTTATCATGTCGACTCTTTGGCTAAGTCGATGTGAACGCTTCGTAATGCCGGGATGCCGGGTTCGATCCCAGGTGCGGGCAATGCGCCTTGCGTTTTTTTTCGACAGTGGTATCAGGGGGCCGACCGTCCAGAAAGCAATGGCAAACTACTGTATGTTAATTTGCCTAGAAAAACCACACAACAGCCAGGGGCTGTTGGAGTTGGTTCTGCAACGTCCTGTAAAGGATACGCAACTAACCAAGAAAATGTTTATCATAAAAATCAGACCATATCACGTGTTGTTTGGGACACATGGACAGTAACTGATTACTGAAGGAGTTAATGCCCACAGGGGCACAGGAATAAAGGAAAACCAAAAACACTTATAGAGAGTGAAGAGTGAAGTTAAAAAGATGGGGGACAGCTGCATGAATCAGCGAAGGATAGAAATACTTGGCATGAGTTGGTGGAGGGGAGAGATGGCAGAAGTAGAAGAAAGAGTTAATAAGTGACCAACAACAACCAGAAAATATTACCTTGAATGTAACATTGGCATACAGGAGGTATCCTGCAGTGGAATGAGTGATTCCCTTAGGAGAACCAGTGCTGCCGGATGTATACAGCATGAACAGGGTATCCTCGCTCTGCCTCTCTGTTACTGGGCAGTCTGGTGACTCATGTTCCAGTGCCTAGGTGGAAGTAAACAAAAAAACTAGGTGATTTATTAATATCCTACCCTAAACTGTGGAAATCTACAGGTCACCGGACAGTCTAATATTTCAGGGGGTGGTAGATAGACTGCATGCAGTCATGGGACCTAGGCTGCATGCAGTCGTGGGAAGTAGGCTGCATGCAGTCGTGGGACCTAGGCTGCACTTTCTAGTAGGACGTAGGTGTGTTGGGTTTAGGGCCAATTCTAGATATTCTGAGGTCATTAAAAGCATCAGAAAGCGGGGAAATCCAGTCTTACCCCCCTCTAAAATTGTGGACTGTCCTGTGACATCATCTGGGGTAGGATATTAATAAAGCACCAAAAACTATATTAGTGGCTTTGAAAGCTCTGAGAATGATGCATTCCCATGTACCAAGACTATGTGTTCAGATTTTAGCCTCATTATCATAAATCATCAGGTCTTTTGCAGACCTTTTAACTCTTTGAGTCCCAGGGGGTTAAGCATCACTGGCCCAGGGGGTAGTAAAGAAAGTAATAAAATCAGCGCATCATGCGTTCATTGGGCTTCTAGGTAGGAACCTATGAACGTATGATGTGTTCCTTGGGACTCAAAGAGTTAAAGACTTTGGCTGAAAAGTTTGGTTGTATTTGTGCGCGTCTTTTCCTTTCCGTGGAGTTTTCTAGTCCCATTTTTTTTTTTTGTATTTAGCACTTCTTTTCACCAGCTCGTCTGCAGTCATCCCTTTTTACATTCCCCCTTGTATAAAATGTGAGTGTAATCACGGAACGCCTGAAAGTCTCTCTTTCACTAGCCAATTCTTCAGGCCTATGGACTTTCAAAGCCAATGCAGCTTCAATGTCTTGTGTCCACTTTCACAGAGGTCTGCCTCTGCCTCACTTTCTGGAAAACTGAACTCTCCATCAATGTTCTCACCATACCACCATGATGTTTAGCATGACCAAAATACGTTAGCTTTCAGGTCAGGATGCTGTTTATGAGCCAGTTCTCCATGCTCAGATTATGTAGGATATCAGTGTTTTTCTATTCAAAAGCTCAATTGTCTTCATTGATGACTGAGTAACAGTCCATGACTCATGACTTACACCCATGCTACTAAATAATAAATACAAAATGCAATGCAAAAAAATGACAAGATAAATGACTAAGAGAAAAGACGTAAAAATTAAGAATTCTCTACCAACTTCTTAATTATTTCCCTTTCAAGGGCTGTAGGCCACACTTAGCTGTGCACTTCAGACATCACTGTATCAAACTTCAGCATTTTCTGTGTCAGTGACAGGGCCCCATTTGGGTAGGGGACAAAAACAGATTCACTAATAAGCATGTCGTAAAAGGTAACCAATCAACAGCTTGCTGAAACTTGCTGATTTGGATAGAGAGGTGCAGATACTGCAGCCTAGCTGTAAACAACAATAAAATGTGCTAACTGTTCTCAGGATGAACACAGGAGTGGAAGAAACTTCAACATGCATAACAAAAAGTTTATTTCCTCTAGACAGGTCCCCCCCCACTCAAGATAATGGACTCTTTATCCACCCACTCCCAGTGCGAATTCTGGAAGCACCTGTGTGAGTGAGGGGTAAGGGTGAGGGGCAAGAGTGGAGGGGGAGGGGGGGAAGACCTACTGTCCCCCAGCAAACATGCCATAAAAACTGACTAATTAGAGATGTTTCCTTCCACGTTGGAATATTTCTGCCCGGTTCTGCAACGTCATATAACGGTAGCGCAACTAAACCAACCAGAAACATTTACGAAAACAAAGAAAAGGCAACTGACCTTGTTCATGTTAATATCTAATCTGTTCAAAGGCACTTCAGTTTCAGTTCTGTAATACACCAGGACCTGTCTCACACCCGGGCATTTTTTCACTGCCTGGTCAACTGTTTTCTTCAGCTCAATTGTTCTGCCCGCTCGAACTGCCTGATTGGATGTGACTACAATTTCTGCTCGAGCTAAAACAGAAATGCCGTAAATGTTACATTTTTAATCAATTCTGATTCTAATCCAAAATACATGGATATAATAAATATGTAATATATTTTGTCTTTTTTATCTTAAAACTGTTGACCTTAGCAGTTGGTTACATATTTCTATAATATCACTACAGTAGACTAAGAAGTATAAATATATAGGTTCTAGACTTATGAGGGCTATATAGAAAAATATAAAAAATAGTAACAAAATTAGAGGGTACATGGTGCTAGACATATAGATTATTTAGTAAAATATAACAAACTGATAAAATCAATGGTACAGGGTGCTAGACTTTTGTAGGTTATATAGTAAAATATTTAAAATGATAAAAATAGGGGCATACTGTGCTAGACTTTTATGTCTTCTCTTTCTTATAATATTGAAGATTAGTAAAACAAGACTCTAATTTCTTCCAAGTAGACAAAGAAGTATAATTTAACAATAACATCTCTCTCTATTTGATGGCGCTATATTGTATACATTCTCAGAAGGTACGAACAGAGAATCACCAAACAAGCTCTGAAATAGGAAACAGAAGGATTAAGAAAATAAAGATGTCCCTGAGACACCCAAAGGTGAACACCAATGACAGAAGCCAAAGTTGCTGAACTGGATTCCATAGATGATAATGAAATGATTGCAGAAGATAGAACGGAATGGGGGAATAGACTGTGAACCCTACGTAACATTTAATGGCACAAGAGGACAATGATGATGACGATATCCCCCTTCAAGTGTGTTACATACCATCATTGATTCTCCCAGCTAGAGCATCAGCACTGAATCCTGCAAACACTACGTTGTGAATGGCACCGATGCGAGCACACGCCAGCATTGTCGCAACAGCAACTGGTGTTTTGGGCAAGTAGATGGCCACTCTGTCTCCAGCCTTAACTCCGTTGTTCCGTAAGAGATTTCCAATTTTGCCAACCAAATCTGCCAGCTGCCTGTCATGAAGGAGATAGAAGCTTTATACAGTTTAACTCTTTCAATTCCAAGCCACTCAGCTTCTGGTTACTTCTTTTATGCTATGCTTTTGTAGTTCTTCTTCTTCTTTTGTCAATATCTGGTTATGCCGCTAGGCGTCGCAGTTCATCAGATAATCAGCAGCTGAGCCAGGGCGCGCTCAGTCGCTTGATATGCTGTGATGTTATGCAGTCTCACGATGTCAGTGACTCCTTCAATACATCTTCTTCTCTGTCTTCCCTTGCCTCTTGATATTTCAATTTTCAGGCTGTTTAATCTTGCTGCTTGCATAATTGGTTTCAATCTCATAAGATGACCAAATCAATTCATTCTTTGTTTCTCAAAAAATTAGATGATAGGTGTTGTTCCAACAGTTCTTGAGATCATGTCGTTCCATGGTGTAGTTTCGTCATCAAATCTATTCATTCCAATGAAGAATCAATAAATCTCTCAAAAACTGCCTTATCCATCCCATGGGTGTCATTTCACCAAGGGAACTTAACATCCAACAAGGTTTTATCTTATAACTCTGCATAAAAGGCCCATGTCGCTGGAGGTTTTTTCTGTTCAGTGTTTATTTCCTGTGGTTACACACATGAGAGATATTCCACTGGCCCATGTCGCTGGAGGTTTTTTCTGTTCAGTGTTTATTTCCTGTGGTTACACACATGAGAGATATTCCACTGGCCCATGTCGCTGGAGGTTTTACCTGTTCAGTGTTTATTTCCTGTGGTTACACACATGAGAGATATTCCACTGGCCCATGTCGCTGGAGGTTTTACCTGGTCAGTATTTATTTCCTGTGGCTACACAGATGTGAGATATTCCACTGGCCCATGTCGCTGGAGGTTTTACCTGGTCAGTGTTTATTTCCTGTGGTTACACAGATGAGAGATATTCCACTGGCCCATGTCGCTGGAGGTTTTACCTGGCCAGTGTTTATTTCCTGTGGTTACACACATGAGAGATATTCCACTGGCCCATGTCGCTGGAGGTTTTACCTGGCCAGTGTTTATTTCCTGTGGTTACACACATGAGAGATATTCCACTGGCCCATGTCGCTGGAGGTTTTACCTGGCCAGTGTTTATTTCCTGTGGTTACACACATGAGAGATATTCCACTGGCCCATGTCGCTGGAGGTTTTTACCTGGCCAGTGTTTATTTCCTGTGGTTCACACATGAGAGATATTCCACTGGCCCATGTCGCTGGAGGTTTTAACTGGCCAGTGTTTATTTTCCTGTGGTTACACACATGAGAGATATTCCACTGGCCCATGTCGCTGGAGGTTTTACCTGGCCAGTGTTTATTTCCTGTGGTTACACACATGAGAGATATTCCACTGGCCCATGTCGCTGGAGGTTTTACCTGGCCAGTGTTTATTTCCTGTGGTTACACACATGAGAGATATTCCACTGGCCCATGTCGCTGGAGGTTTTACCTGTTCAGTGTTTATTTCCTGTGGTTACACACATGAGAGATATTCCACTGGCCTATGTCGCTGGAGGTTTTACCTGGCCAGTGTTTATTTCCTGTGGTTACACACATGAGAGATATTCCACTGGCCCATGTCGCTGGAGGTTTTACCTGGCCAGTGTTTATTTCCTGTGGTTACACACATGAGAGATATTCCACTGGCCCATGTCGCTGGAGGTTTTACCTGGTCCAGTGTTTATTTCCTGTGGTTACACACATGAGAGATATTCCACTGGCCCATGTCGCTGGAGGTTTTACCTGGCCAGTGTTTATTTCCTGTGGTTACACACATGAGAGATATTCCACTGGCCCATGTCGCTGGAGGTTTTACCTGGCCAGTGTTTATTTCCTGTGGTTACACACATGAGAGATATTCCACTGGCCCATGTCGCTGGAGGTTTTACCTGGCCAGTGTTTATTTTCCTGTGGTTACACACATGAGAGATATTCCACTGGCCCATGTCGCTGGAGGTTTTACCTGGCCAGTGTTTATTTCCTGTGGTTACACACATGAGAGATATTCCACTGGCCCATGTCGCTGGAGGTTTTACCTGGCCAGTGTTTATTTCCTGTGGTTACACACATGAGAGATATTCCACTGGCCCATGTCGCTGGAGGTTTTACCTGGCCAGTGTTTATTTCCTGTGGTTACACACATGAGAGATATTCCACTGGCCCATGTCGCTGGAGGTTTTACCTGGCCAGTGTTTATTTCCTGTGGTTACACACATGAGAGATATTCCACTGGCCGGAAAGAAAGATTTACCTAACAGAATAACAGGGCAGACAAAATTCAGAAATCCAAGTCTGATACCGAGCACCTAGCAAACACCTGGCACATTTCCTGGTACTGAAAGAGTTAAACAATAAAGTTTAACAGTGAGAAAATCGACTTTGCTGTGATAGGGTTAATCTTATCAAGCTCAACCTCTCTCCACACAGCCATGCCAAGAGCACTACACAAACTAATTTGAGATCCTGCAATTATTCCCTATGGGTCTCCAGACAAACTGCAGCCCTTTTTAATCAAGTTCTTCGTCTTATTAACAGTCCACGTCCCACGTGGCAGTGGTAGTCTATGTCTATCCATAATCTTCTGTCTCACGTACTTTAAATCTGTTTCAACACAGATTATGTTGCATGCCATGATGTCAAACTGTCCAAACTGTCCAGCATCTTTTCTCTCAGTCTCTCTCTGCCTCTCCTCTACTCCAACTTTCCCACTGTAACTATGTACTCCAGTTTTCTCCTTCTCATCACATTTCCAAAGAATGTAGATTGTCTCGCTTACCAACTTAGGAAGCCATAAAATGAGCCCACAACCTATCGAGCATAAGGCAAACAATTTGATCACTTCCCTGAGGTAATGTTATGACTAATTCCTTCTTCTTCGTCTTTGTTCACCTGCTGTAAGCTCTGGTGGAAAGTCCTGGACTGTTAATCCATTTGGACTTTGGCTTTGTGCCAAGGCCTGAATTTTGCGTGTACATCAGTTTTACTGGCTATTTGTGTGCAGTTGGTTGCTCCTTGCCACTCAGGCAGATGCAGTCCGACTTTTAAGGAAGTCCCCACATTCTGTGGTTCTCCCATGCTCTGTCATCAACCCAATATTTATGTCATCTTGTCACTATCTCTGTCATTATATTTTGCTAGTCATTCAATATCTCTATCTCACCATTCTCCTTGTCATTCTCTCATTTACTCTCTGCCTCTCTCTTTCTCTCCTCCCCCCCCCCCCCCTTACTTGTAAGTGTACAGCTGCTGTTGGCCAGGCTCATCCTTCTCCCAGATAAGAGCGATTTCATCTCCCCGATCCTTCAGGTGACGGTCAACACAGTTCACTATAGAAACAGAACAAAATCAGGGCGTTAAGTCTTCAATGGCAGACCTAGAAGAGTATATATGTTTAGTTAAACAAATGATACACAGCTGATGTTCCCCGTGTGGGTTCTGGAGCCCCACTGGGTGGGGCGGAGGGAGGGGGGAATAGACCAACTGTCCCCTGAGTGAACATGTCATAAAAAGTGACTAATTACGGGTGTTTCATTTGAAATTAGAGTACATCTGCCTGAGAATATTAGGAGGATAGTCGGTATATGTTTTTTAAGCACACAACACGCAGAGTCAAAAAAAAAAAAATAATATAAAACACCTGTACAAAAGGGTTGGCACCGCATGAGCAACAGACAGGCCCTCAACCAACTCCAGCCACGTCATTCTATCCTTCACTATTGAATGCAGCTCACCCAATTCCTCCGTCTTTTTAACATTAATCTCCAGCTCCTTTCTCTCTGTGTTTTGCTTACCTTTATTTCTATATCCCTGTGGGTTCCAGTGCAAAAGACCTTTTATTTTTATTGTTCTCATGTTTTCTTACAGTGTGTCTTATCCAAAGCCAGCGTCTTGTCTTCACCTCTTTGTCCACTAGAATTTGCTTAGTTCTCTCCCAAAGTTCGTGTTTAATTCACAATATATAATTTTTTATAGTAGTTTGTACAATATTACACTATTAGTTTCCTACCTGCAACATTCAATGTCCCACCATCAAACCACCGAGAGCGTCCTTCCTTGAAGTCATTGTCGCTGACAGTTGTAAAATCTTTACTCCACTGAAGCCGCGATCGAGCCAGCCTAGACCAAAATTGGTCGGATTCTTCTATACTGAACCTGTAGAGATCTGCATGCGTTTTGATATGGGTCAAGTCCTGGAACTCCGGGAAATCGGTTGTGGTTGAAATCTGAGCATGTTTATTCAAAGAATACGTGCATGGAGCTCTCAGCAAACTGCTGGTTTGATGAAGTTTTGGAGTACAGCTTGCACTAGACGTGAAACACCGCCCTAACAATTTTGGTAGGCTGGAGCGATTCGCCATCTTCAGCTGTTTTCCAGCAGACGCTGGTCAAAGGTGAAGGTTAGAAGTTCACTGGTTCAAAGTGCAATGTCTGTTTGAATTCGTGTCTTTTTCGTGCAATTTTTGTTACTGTTGTTTTATTTATAAAATATTCAAACCTTTCTGTAGGTGTCATATAATGTGATAGGTTGTGTACATGATAATCTCAGTTAATGTATTATTTTCTTCATTTATCTTGTTCCTCGTATGATAGGAGTGATTTGATGTCATTGTTTACAACATGTCTGTCAAACTGACGGCCCGTGGACCGCATGCGGCCCTTTGCAAACCCACACTATCAATATATATTCAAGCAGATTTATTCCGCAATATTGTTTTTTTAATAAATTCAATTAGTTGTCGTGTATGGCCCTCACGACGACACAAATATTTCTTTCGTGGAACCCTCAATTTAACATGCCTCGTTTAGGCCTACACATGATTAGTTGCGTTCATGATAAGGGTTTCATTTTAGCTTTCTCAGCACGTTGTAATGAATGGCCAAGTAGTTGAGATCCACCCTCGGTGATTATTCGACAGCTACCAGCCATCTTGCAGTTGGAGTTTTGGCTGTGACACTGTCAATATTATGATTTAATGATAATCAGTTGTCGTCTCCGTGATGACGGTCGGCTGCAATGGATCTCTTCAACCCCAAACCCTCTCCTTTACATCTCTATAGCTCTGGCTGTACACACTATCAAACTGCAGTTCTTCAATCGCCCTGATGTTATCCCTTTACTTATATAACTGTCTGCTTCCCACCCAACGCCTTACAAATTTACTTCTTTGTACAGCTACGTCGACTGTGATAGCATAACAAATGTCATATTAATTATCTCTGTGCTCCATGATCTCAATGCTTTTGTGTGGAAGGTATGGGGTGAGTTGGACGAAAAGGAAAAGAAAAGGCAGTAGCGGTAGCAGAAGAAGAAGAAGAAGAAGAAGAAGAAGAAGAAGAAGAAGAAGAAGAAGAAGAAGAAGAAGAAGAAGAAGAAGAAGAAGAAGAACAAGAAGAAGAAGAAAAAGAAGAAGAAGAAGAAGAAGAAGAAGAAGAAGAAGAAGAAGAAGAAGAAGAAGAAGAAGAAGAAATAGAAGAAGAAGAAGAAGAAGAAGAAGAAGAAGAAGAAGAAGAAGAAGAAGAAGAAGAAGAAGAAGAAGAAGAAGAGGAAAAAGTAGATGAAGAAAAAGAAGAAGTAAATTACTGCGAACACATCACTACAAAATAGCCAACTGATAACATATTTAATTATCATGTGAAGTTGCCGATACCCAGGTTTATACAAGGAGCAAGGGTCCACACGTGCGCATAAGCTGGTGTGTATTGTCTTTTATTACATCGTCACATGTTCTTCCGCTTGTGCCAGCTTTCCTAGCATGCGCAGTTCACACTTTCTGCAATCAAGTCACATGTTGTCATATCTGGCAATCTTGTCCTTTTGTTAATTCCGTGCACAGTTATATTTTATTACATGAAACACTGTCTGCTTCTTCATCTGCTAACACTTATTCGTCATCAGAGTATAGGCCTTCAGCTTTCAATATCTCTATTAATCCTTAACCACATTTTGCCACTTTATACAAATCCTTCTATGTACTTCTCCACTTAGATGTTCTTCTCTTCTTCTTTCGTTCGCATGAAATAAATTGTCTATATCTGCAAAGCTGTCTCTAGTATGAATTTCACTGTCTTTTGTAATTCACTAAGCGGCCCGTAAAGTTTGACTTCCACAAGTGTCTCTTTTGGCCAAAGGTTTTGCCTGAAAGCGTTGAATCTGGGACAGTCTTGAAGGATGTGATCTGTTGTTTCAGGTGCCAGTCCACAAGTACACATGGCTGATTGGCCAATCTTAAATTTGTTGTACATGTGGGAGCGAAGTCTATTGTGCCCTGTTCTAAGGCGAAGGATAATGACTTGCTCTGGTCTGTCCATAATATGGTAATCATCTTGTGCCAGTTTCGGTGGCATTCTGATTGATTTGATCATTCTCTTCTTCTGTTGATAAGAGACTGGTATGTCAGGTTGTTCTTCAGTTGCACCTTCCTTAGCTAGTTTATCAGCTTTTTCGTTTCCGGGAACTCCACAGTGGGAAGGTATCCACTGCATTACTAATTTACAGCGGTTGCCTAGTTCGGATAATAGTGTCTGTATGCTTGGTAATTTTCCAGACTGGAGTGACTGAAGTACTGCTTTTGCATCTGTCAGGAATACCACTGGTTGTGAAAAATACCCTATATTTAGTAGTTTCTCTACCGCTATCTTGATGGCTTGAACTTCTGCATCATAATTGTGACAGTGCTTTCCCGTTGGTAATTTGGCTGTATCCCTTGTATTATTAGGATACTCAATGTACACTCCTGCACCTCCGTTTCTGACTGCGCTTTCTGCTGACCCATCTGTGTAAACACGGGCCCAAAGGTTCTTCGGGTATTCATCATCAAGTAGACTGAGGGTGGCTGTTTTGCGCTGCACACTGTTTTGTTCTTCCTTGTCAAATACCCCTTTTACTTCAGTCTTGATGTGTATTGGAAACTTATACTCCTCTCTCCAGGGGGTCCGTTCTGGGACAGCATTTAAGGATCTATCAGTTGCAGGTAAATCAGTGGTTTGTCTGCCGAGCCGTTTGGCCTGGTGGATAAAACTCCACTTAGATGTGATTCATCGGTTTCTAATTCTCGTTTTCGTACGTTGTTGGATTTCTCTCTATAACATTGCTCCCGTGTGAGTGCTCCTCTGCAATCGACCAGACTTCATAAACTTGGCAATTTTCATAACTATCTGTGTATTGTGTGAAAAGAAAAGGAGCAGGTAAGGGCAAATTTGCATTACCTTTTGCAGTTTGTCCCTCCTGCATTTTGTCCCCCTCCTGCAGTATGTCCCCGCCTGCAGTCCGCATGATTAACACCTCAAGTATGATAATCCTGCATATACAAATCCCAGTAAGCCCCGTTTAGTCCACATGTTATATTGAGGTCCCAAGTGGTTATGAAAATACCTGAAGTGGAGACCAAGCAAGGATAGTTATGTTAACTGAAATGTAGGAAGAGAAATGACCATATAAGGCTTAGAACGGTGTTCTTTAACTGGTAGTCCGCGGAAATCACCTGGCGCCCCGCCAGAAATGTCTGCCTAATTATGTAGCAGATCTACATATCTCGGTCTTTGGTGTTCTGTGTCAATTCCAGTCGTCACGTTATTTTCCAGTGCTCCTGTCGTCATGTGATGAGAAAAGGACCACTTGTAAATATCGTGACGACTGGAAAGATAACTGGTAGAAGATGCAGACACAGACAAAGAGAAATGACGGTGGATGGCTTAAGACTGTGGCATGGAGGAGTATCATCTGTGAAATTGGTCCAAAAACACCAAAGACCGAGATCTGTGGACATGCATGCACGCCTACGCCAACTGAAATGAATCAAGTTGCGGTGGTATTTGGTCGATTCTCGACTTCCTATTTGTGTGAAAAGACATTCTCGTCCATGTCAGTAATAAAAGCCAAACATGCAAAGCGAATGAATGCAGCACTTCTTCTATCAGAAACAACGCCCCAGTCGCATATAAGATATCTTAACCTCAAAGGAACCGTAGGAGCCGTATTCGCTGAAAATTGTAATTTTGTGACATCGGATTTATACCGCAGTGTAAATTTTGTGTTAGTTACCAGATAGTTCGAGAAACAATTTCCAATTCGATAGTGTAGAAATGTTGAAAAGCACTGGCTTAGAAAGTGTTGTCAGTATTTACTTCCACCCTTACCGTCTCTTCTACATGTTATGTGGATCTGGCAATGTGCGGAGACAAGACTGGATAAATGTAGCGAGATATAAAATTGCTATTAGAGTTTGGGAGAGTATGCTCCACGGAGAATAGAAGAAGACAAAAGAGAAGAAACTGATAAAATAATAAGCTCGGGGAGAAGAGGAAGGAAGTGAGTAGTAGCAGCAGCAGTAAGAGTAGTATTGGTGGGGGTGATGGTGGTAGTGGTAGTGGCGGTAGTAGAAGAAGGAGACGAAGAAGAAGAAGAAGGAAGAAGAAGAAGAGCAACAACAACAGCAGCAGCAACAACAACAATAAAACTACAATTAGACAAACAACAAGACCTCGACGACACCAGCAACTAACAATTCAAAGACAAAACGAGTTTTGCTTGTTTCTTATATTTGTTTATTGTTCTGAAATGATGTTTTAGTTGTAGAGACTCCTGATTCAAGAAGACATGGTGGATTCGATAACTCTGTTTTCTTTTCTCCCTTTGTTTTCTTTATGATCTTTATGATCTTTGAGTGTCTTCTTTATAATCTCAAATGAGTATTCAATATATTTATTTATTTCTGCAATCGCATCGTCAAATTGTTCAATCAAGTCCTTCATATTTTCTTTAAAATGTGTAAACTTGTTTTTGTCGCCATGGGTCAAACACTCCTCGTCTTCATCCTCATTTTCGTCAATGGGGCGCCCGTGTCCATTGGAGATCACCAACAGCCAAATCAACATAGAAACAGGGTACGCGACTCTCATCTGAAAACAAACGGAATAACAATGAGACAGTTCCACAGCTTATTAATTTACTATTTAATATATCAAGTACTGGGACACCAAGTCCTCCTATTGCCGCATAAGAAATTCCTGATCTGCACAAAGAAACATCACATTCATCATCATCATCATCAGGTGCCTTGCCGAGTGGCGTGGGCGATCATGCCTCTCCATAATCCGCGATCTCCTGCAGCATGTATCAGTTCGTGTGCCGACACACCTCCATGCCATGCAACAAGACTGTCAAGCATCTTCTCTCGTTGTCTTCCTCTATCCCTCCTTCCACAGATCTTTCCAGTGGTCACAACATGTTCTATTTTCCCTCTTCTCATAACATGGCCGAAAAATGATGACTGTCTCCTTCTGATGTCAGTGATATTACTATTTACTATTTAATACGCCACTCGGCAAGGCACCTGATGATGATGATGATGAATGTGATGTTTCTTTGTGCAGATCAGGAATTTCTTATGCCGCAATAGGAGGACTTGGTGTCCCAGTACTGTACTACGAGTACCAGACACAATCACTCACAAGAATACAGAAACGAAAATTATTAACCATGAAAATTATGTGTCTGAGAAGGAATGCTGATGTGATCAGAAGAGATAAAATTAGGAATTAGGTTATAAGAGGAAAATGTTTGCACATAACTATTTTAAATTGCATACAAAGACAGCGAAGCACTTGGTTTGCCCGTTTGGATATAATGCCTTGTGGTGCCTTGCCATACAATGTATCCACTTAGAAAGGAGAGGGGTGCAGCGCAAATGGGAGACCAAAAACAAGATGGAAAATTAACCAGAGAAACTATACAACAGCACGACATATCTATGGTCAGAAGAGCAAAAAGAAGAACATTATATCTCCCTCGACACCTAAAAGGTAAAATAGGAAGGGAAGAAGAAGAAGAAGGGTATTTGTGGTAAATAAAGTGTAACTTAGTGACGGGCACTCATAGATGCCAATAGAAAACGACCACTTTAGGAATCAAACCTGTCGCCTCAAGATGACCACGGCACCTCGTCTTAGGGACAAATGTACTTCACTGTATATCCATGAAGACACCCCAGCAAAGGTGGGGTTGGCTGTCGCGTGAATACCCTTGTACCAACTGTCACACTGACACACACAAATTCTTTAAAAAAATTAAACACGACACTGATAGCTGTTAGCCTTATTGCTCATCACAAAAACATGTACAGGTAACTGAAATTATGAAACAAATAAACATAATGAAGAGGTCATCATCATCATTAAGTGCCTTGCTGACTGGAGTGGACGATCAAGCCTTTCGACAATTTGCGATTGCTAACAGCGTGTATTCATTTATGTGCTGACACTCCTCCAGGCCATGACAAAAGGCTGTCAAGAATCTTCTCGTTTTGTCTTCCTCTGTCACTCTCTTCACAATCCCTAGGGAGCAAGTGAACACACAGAGGCACGAATCGATGATTATGGTCTGGAGAGAATAGTACAGCTGGAAGTGACTGCCCCCGGGATCTGGTCGACACTCTACACTCAGAGAAAAAGCAATACGGACATATAATCAACTTGCTACTGGCATCCTCGGAATTGGAACTCTTCGCTAGTTGCGGAAGATGAGGACGAAGCACTTATGGGAAAGTATCGAGTAATGTGGTGTCACTTCTTAACTCATTCCTCTTTTCATAAAAATCTTCAGCGGTAATTTCAGTTTCGATCTTTTTACAACGTAGCCGGATACTGAAGATTATCTCTTTTTGATATTTGTGATATATTATTGTCGGGCTCTTGTCTTTTAAAACATATGGGTTACTTAATTTAGCTATTAACGAATTCTAAGCATTTTTCTGTCTCCGAAGACAGAAGAAATTTTCCGGCTGTTATATTGATTGTCCAGGATTCGCAATACATAAACAAACCACATGCCAGCAGAGAAAAAGTGAATGGTTGAATGTCAGTCAGGAATAAAGATTTATTTTAACGAGTGACAGCCCTAGGCTGCTCCTCTGGGTGGTGAGCTACTTCATAATAAATCCAATGCGGTAAAGGCACTCTACTATCAAGCAAATAATGCAACAGAACAAGGCATCCATATTTAAAGAGGTTGATTACACTGATCGTGCGCCCAAGCAGGGGGTTTTGACGATTTTCTTCCTGCAAGGGGGTGAGGGGGGGGGGGGGACAGAAGAATTCTCAGGTTGCCACTGGCTTCATCAGTATAAGAACTCTTCGTTAGCTGCTGAGGAAGGGGAGGGAGCAGGAATGGAAATGTCCTATGTTAGTTTGTCGACAGATTTTCCTCATTACACGTCGAACCACTCAGACCATAAGTGCTCGGATCCCCTCCTCAGTAAATCCTGCAGCGTGTAGCGGCTAACGACATCAGTTCTGTGTTGGTTTATTATTCTTCTTTGGCTACCCGCGTAGTGTTCTTGTTTGGAGACACCCCGATTAACATGTTGTTCTTGCAGTTTGACCAGGGTTGCAGAATGGGAATATCCTATTAACATTTATATAAATTCATTCATTCATACCAGGTAAGAGAAGAGCAATATAAGTATAACTGACATTTACCTTTTTTTTTCCAGCAATAGGTATCCAAATGCCAGGGTCAAATCTTCTCAGCTAAGATCAGATCTGATGACAAGGAAGAGTGAGTTATAATCAACACCGTTTGGAATGATGGGCATTGCTTTATAGAATTGGATAATCTCTCACACAGAACGAACTGTCATGATTTCTCATTATCTTTGTTGCACGCGATGTTGGGTGTCAAGAGGTGGCACTTTATACGTGAGAACATTGGCGTTTTCTCAGGTTATATTGCTGCAAATGAAATATGCAGCCCTTGTTACATTTGCGATGTTTATCTAGCCGTCTATCACCACTGGATCAAGATGAGCTTGACGATTCTTCAGCTTGATACAACTGTCATAAGTGCTGCTATTGTGAACCAGAGGTTGGAACTAGAGTCGCGTAATTAACGTCGAGATTTGTGTAACGACTTGCAACTCGACTTGGGATTTGTAGCTTCAACGACTTGATACGACAGGTTCTTTGTGATCGGCTTCTATGGGGTTTGGTAGTAAGATAAAATACTAATAAAATAATGTGACAAATTTTCAGTTTTCTGCAAATTTATTAAAATAACAATACTTTTGGTGCCTTCAATATGCAGCCGTATGCATTCAATTGAGCTATTTACATATAAAATCAAAATCTAACAATTGTTGGCTGTTGCTTTCGTACTGAACAGACGAACTAGTTTATTGAAAAAGCACTGTCCCATGCACGTCTTGCAAATGACTTGATACGTAAAGTGATTTGACTCGGCACTTTATTTGTGTACTAGGGGGGAGAAAGCCCATGGTACTAAAAAGAAAGATAAAGAAGGAAATAAGATAGTTCGTTTAGGTGGGGGCTAGAAACAATAATATTCTAGTCCAGGCATTAGATCTTCTGTGTAAAGTCTAATAAGTCAGGTAATAATAAACTAGACTAGAAAACTACTAGTCGTAAGCTGAAGGAAACAACTGTAACTATGAATACAACGTTGAACATACTTTTTATTTAACTTCACATCAGCTTGGCCAAAAGTAACGACATAAATGACCACGTGCTGGAACAAAACCTCAAACATACAGCAATCTACCATCTAACTATTTCTTGTCTAGAATACAAGTGAAAATCTATTTTAACCAACTAACCACTGAACGTACCCTCGACTGCCATCAGTCCGACCACGAACGTTACCTGTGGTCGCCATACCCATAGACCAGCCCATTGTGCAAAGCATCAGTCTTCTTCGGTTAGGCTTCCACAGGTTGGTCCGGAAGTCGAATAGATCGCTGCGACTGACTGACTGACTTTCTACCCCACCAGGACATCACACAAGCGATAAACACCCGATGACACAAAGTGCCACCATGCGGATGAGGATCGCCGTGGAGAGGTCCCAGAAACCGCGTTCAGACATTTGGCCATATTTATGGCCTGCCTATATTGCGGCCCCTGGCAAAAGCCAGAGTAGGGCTTCAAATGACAAAAAATTTCGTCTTGAAAAGGACGAAACTGGATATCGCTGCGAGACTAGACAAAATCTTTTATACCCAGCGAGCCAGATGTTTCCCCATCTTTCGTATACTTTATTAACTGCCAATGTTTCTCAAAAGGCCGGTTAGCATTTTCAAACCAGGATAAACCTCTCACAGACCTTTAATCTGTTGTACTGTAGTCTTCGTCGCTTCCACCCTACTACATTTGGAAGCATTCTTGGTAACTTAAGGCTTGACCTGCGACTTGGTGGCAATGACTTGGTACTCGACTTAGACTTGAAGGGAGACGATTTAGTTCAACCTCTGCTTTGTAACCGTAGGGGTGGTCTATTATAATTATGCTTTACGGTTAAACGGGGATTCTGTCGTTTGCGCCTGTCTGATTCTCATCCTTGAGATGATGGTCCTGCGGACAGCAAACCAGCAGAGGATTTACATCCTGTGCGTGGGGGTTTATAGCAAAAGCTGATTGACGTCGCTTGGTGCAACAAAGCCTGACAAATGATATCACAACGTCTAGTTTGAGAATGCAGGTGGAGGCAGTCACTGCTGCCTTCCTCTGGCTTGAAAATCAGCTGTACACACATGTCGTCATTAAAACTGACTCACATAGAATACTGAGAAAGGCGGAGGCAGGCATGCTCCGTGCAGAGTGGCAGGTATCACATCAGAGGTCGCTGGTAGTTAGCATCATTTGGATATTTTCTCCAGGTAATGCCGGTGTGTTGGGAAATGAGCAGGCAGATAGTGTGGCCGGTTCTGTACCACTTTGTGGTGAATTGATGTATGACAGGCTGGATGTTGTGAGGGCCCTTTGGGAGCAAGTGAACAGTGCTGAGGAACAGATAGATCATTACGGTCTGAGGAGAATGGCACTGAGGAGAAGGGCACAGTTACAAGGGGATCTGCCCGACGCTCGACATTCAGGGAAAAGGCGAGACGGATATACAATCAGACAGTTACTGGTGCCATAGGCATTTTAACTCTTCGCTTGCTGCTGAGGATGGGGACGGAGCGCTTATGGGGGTGTCCCGAGTGCTGTGATGTCGATTCTTAATTCAACATTCCTGGAGAGGAACAATGACCGTTAGCCGTAGCAATAGCCGTAGCTAACATCATGTCGTTTGAAAGAAGGACTCCTGATGAAGACCAATGACATTTAATAACTGGAGTCTAACTCATGTCGCATTTGCTCGCAGACTTTGTTAGAAATAGTCACACTTCAGACGATAAGAAATACAAAGCTAGAAAACGATGGAACTTGCTAGCACAGGTAATAATTTGCATGTCATTGATCAACTTTGTAGTGTTGTCAATAGTTACGGCTAGAAAAGAGAGCGACCTCGCCTAACATTTTACGCTACAAAACCCTTTCTTCGCCGTTAGGGGTTGCTGGTAGTAACTTAATATTGATCTGCTGTAAAATCTTGGTTAACTTACTGCTCCCAAGTCGATGAGATAACTGGTCATATGTCAGAGGGCATAGTATAAACAACTGAAATATTAAGCGATAACCTACCATTTATTCACTCTAGGATCATCTCAACCACCATCCATAGGTTGTCCTATGTCTCCATTTCTGTTGCTGGCACCTTTCCATCTTTCCAGACGATATTGTTATATTGTGCTATGAGGAGGCATGAGAATCACAGCCTATGTTAAGAGATATCTTTCATAACAAAAGCATGGGATTTCAAGACCATTGTTATCTTTCTGCAGTCATTTCTACTTTCTTTTCTTTATTTTCACTCCCTTTTATGATTTCCTCCTCCACTCAGTGCCGTCCATGGTATTTTGTTCCCACATATCTACCTCAATATCTATATCATTCATGTTTAGCTTGCACACATCTTTATATCATAGTAAAGACCAACCTTAACATCGTCTATCCATCTGTAATTTGCCAGATAGGATGTCCTTAGAGACTCTACCATCCTCTATATTATCTAAGAGACCCAGCCACTTGAGCCTTTGTAGATTGAGCTCTGAGAAAACTGTTGTAATGCCTACTGTTTCCAGTATCTCAGTGTTTGTGATATTGTCTTACCACTTAATGCCGATTCTTCTTCTTAGGCATCGCATGTAAAGATATGCGCTAATAAGAAACACTCACTGAATCAAGCGCTTTTAATTGAAAAGGGTGTCAGGCCTTCATGGTGAAGGCAGTAGCTTAAATATTGCAGAAGTCCACTGTGCATGGAGTCACCTTTATTTTTGTTCCAGGACATGTGCATGTCGATGGAAATGAAAGAACTGACATGTTGGCTGGATCCGCTATGACTACCAACAGTCAACCTATGAATCATTGCCAATATTGTTAATGCACTCTGAGAGATAGGAAGAACGGAGGACTTTGGGAGCAGTGAATCCACATCTCTTTGCCAGAATGATAGACTTGGGAATTAAGATCAGCATAGCAAAAAACGAGACGCACATCAGGCACATAAGATGACTTGTTAATCAACATAGAACTGGCATTATTAGCCACTGGACAATAGGGTTCATACTAAGGGGAGGATCTGACCACCTATTAACATGTCTGGAGTGCAATGATGATAAAACAACTAACTAGCTAACTAACTAACAGTGCTGATAACTGAGCAACAGTTGAATAGAAGTGGCAAGACTGTTATTTGCTGTTGATATGGAAGAGAGGGTCCGGAGATTGCCAGAGCGAACCTGATCTGATCGCATCTCCTCCTGGTATGTGGAAATCCATATGTGGACCCTTCGAAGGCTTCAGTAACGTGGTTCTCCTTGGTTGAAATCAGTGGCAAAGCTTTGACAAGAACCCACCTGATGATATCTCTGAGAGGGAGGTCTGTGCTTCACAGAGGATGTTGACTATGTGATAACAAAAGCTCTAATAGACCTGTCAGCAATGTCTGTCCTGGCCACTGTCAGTATTGAGCAGAGACTGCTTGTGTTCCAGGGACTGGTTCTTTCTCAAGTCGAATATGCTTTAGCCTTTCTCACTGTCAGTCATACTCAGACTGAAAGACTTGAAAAGGTGCACACTGAAATCCTGTGCATTATTGTGGGAGCACAAGAAAGGCCTCTTGTCTTGTAGTAAGATAACCTTCTTGACTTTCCAACCATACACCACAGGATCAAGATCTGGAGGGCTCACACATATCTGAAGGTGAGCTCCGAACTGAAGCATCCATTGAACCCTGTTCTCCTTTGTAAAAACTCTTAACTTACACTGTTTATGGTGACTGACTAGCTAAGCAGCCTTTAATTTTCAGGCTCCCAAACCTATCCCTTCCCTCCATCCCCACCCTGTCCTATAACACCCTTAAAATGGTAAATACCAGCGGTAAAGACAGTTTAAAAAAAATACAGTCAAGATAGGAGTTAACCCTTTTGCCCTGGTGACCTAGAAAAGACAATGCCAAACACCCCAAGTTTAGGAATTTAGGGTATTCTGTGAAAAAAATTAATTTAAAGAAAATAAGCATTTTAAACAGGTCAGACACAAAATCCTGACAATTCCATTTATGGATCAAAACAAGTTTTAACTGAATACAGAATCTGGTAATCTTAGTTTAGTTCAGCTTCATAGCAAACGGGTCACCCCATAGTTACAGAATAGCAGAAGTAACCAGTAAACATGAATGCAGCAGAGAATTGACTGGGTTACATCTGTCTGAAGCCTTAAAAACGTTTGTGACCCTGTCACCTGCCCACCATTTACCATGGTAACCAATGGGACATTCTGACGTCCTAATTTACAGAAAAGAGATGTAATCTTAATGCAATTTGTTTTCAGCATCTGTGCTCATTCCCTGTCATTCTTAAAAAAAAAAGAAAGTTTCACAGGCAAGAATGGAAGGACAGCTATTAACAGGGCTGTCCGTAAACAAACCTCTAAAGCAATCTAAAAAAGGGACATTTAAAGGGTCAGGACACAGACCAGAAGTGCCATTTTTTGTGCTTTTTGGGATGACAGGGATAAATAAATTTTTGCCTGGGAATGAAAGGGTTATGTTATAGAAAACATTCAAGGAGCTTGATAATGTTTTTGTTTACTCCAGGTTTTAACAGGCGAAAACTCAGTCAAAGTTGTGGACAATACTGTTTCCTGTCGTAGATTCCAGTCTTATGGCTTGTTCTCTACTGAGCCGATGGAACCAGCCAACCAGGACCAAGAAATCAACAAGTGGTTTCAGTATACTTGTCAGGATTTGCCAGGTTTTTCAGTGAATATAAGGTAAAATAGTCGTGTTGCAGACTTCTTACCTATTTACTTCATCGATCTTCTGCTATCCTGGGTGTAGAGGTTTGCCAGAGAGACCGCCAGACTTCCGCTGTCACGAGTTTTGTTTTTGAGCTTTGTTCCATTCCAGTCCTCTATCAGTTAGGGATGTCGAATGTTGTCTTCCCAGCAAATCCTGGGTCACCCTGAAGGTCTAGTTTCCTGGTTCTTGGCCTCCCATGCCTGCCGTAGTGGCTGACTCTCTCCCACTCTGCTTACATGTTCACATCATCTTAACTGTGACTGATCCACTCGAGTTTGTAAGACCTGGATTTCAAGATCATGACGTATTTTCTGGTTGCAAACTTTGTCCCTTTTTGCCACTTGTACCACTTTTCTCAGATTCCATTTGCAGACTTGATTCTGTTGATTACAGGAATCTCCTCCAATGTATCTGCATCTTGTAGTGACAGAAATTGTGTGTTCCAAAGATTCTAAGAACTTTGCAAATGGTAATGTAGCCACTAGTGAGGCATCTCATGACAGACAAGTGAAGAGATGTGAACCAGATGTAAAGAGACTTAAGCCTGCTGCCTTGTAGATAGAAACAAATATACAAGAACTTATCGGCACTCATAGGCATGGTAAATACAGCTTTTGTTTTTGTGTTGTCTAATGTGTCCTGTCTCTTTCTGTACTTCTTTCTGTAAGTGCCTATCAGTTCTTGTTTATTTGTTTATTATATTTATGGCTTCAGGGGTTCCCCTTCTGTTTATTTCTGTGCATTGCATACATCACACTGGAACCGACCAATCATTTCTCTTTTTTAAATGTTCGTTATATGCTACACACGTCGTCAGGGTCTGGTTGTTGTATTTGTTGTTCAATCTATCTCTGGCTAATATAAATTTCTGTAACCTGGGGTGCTTTTTGAGTTGTTTGAAATGAATTCTATCCATATTCCATAGTTGTGGATTCAGACTGTTATACCGGCTTACGATGACACCTTTTTTTAGGTGTCGATTGGCCATGTATATTAGTACACTTTACACTTCTGCATCGAGGCGCCTTCATCACTTGGACGTGACTGTGACAGGTTTGATTCCCCACACAGTAGCTAAAGCTTTTGATTTCTATGTTGCATAGTGCGTCCTCTTATTTACTTCTTCTATGAGTGCCCATCAATTCTTGTTTATTTATCATAGTTTATGGTTTCCCTGTCTGTTTATTTCTGTGTCTTGTAGGTTGACTGGGGACAGACCACCAACCTGTAACATTGTCTTCCTGTTGCATGTTTATTCTCCACTCTTTTCCCCGAAGTTAGTGTAGATGTACTTCCCTATGTCCCCTCCCAATAAATGTTACATATCTTTTTAAACATGTTACCTGGAATAAATTTAGGATATTACTAACACTTAAAATGTTACCAGTAATGTTATTTTCCTATAATATTGCTACCATACAAAATTTACCGATTATATCATTTTCTTATCATATTACTAACATACAAAGTTTACCGATTATGTTATTTTCAAATCATATTAGTAACATAAAAAGTTTACAGACTGACTGGTTACCCCACCAGGACATCACACTGAGCATTAAACCACCGGGCGGCACCCGGAGTCAAACTTTCTGTCACTGTTCGAGTCGAAGCCAGGCGATTAAATCTAGTTACTAGCATAAAAAGTTTACCTACTTTGTTGTTTTCCTATCGTAATATCAACGTAACAAGTTTATCAGTTATGTTATTTTCCTATCATATTCTGTAAGAAGTTTACTTATTATGTAATTTTCCTGTCAACAGTCATGTCAGTGAAGCTGTAACGGCAGAGAGACTCAATGGCTTTAACAACACCGGGAATGTCTGTAAGTGCATCATGCAAATTTCTCCTCTCAGTTTAACCATCATTGGAGCATAGGTCCTCAACCAACTCATGGTTTTGTTCTATCATTTGCCATCTCCTGTAGGTTCTTTGGATTTTTTTTTTTTCTGAGGTATGCAGGAAAACAAATAAGCAGACAGATTGGCTGGGGCTGCACCACTAGGTGGCAGATTGATTCATGACAAGCTAGATGTTGTCACAGTCTTGGGGAGGATGCATGACAAGCTAGATGTTGTCACAGTCTTTGTTAGGATACATGACAAGCTAGATGTAGTCACAGTCTTTGTTAGGATGCATGACAAGCCAGATGTAGTCACAGTCTTTGAGGGGATGCATGACAAGATAGATGTTGTCAAAGTCTTTGTTAGGATGCATGACAAGATAGATGTAGTCACAGTCTTTGTTAGGATGCATGACAAGCCAGATGTAGTCACAGTCTTTGTTAGGATGCATGACAAGATAGATGTTGTCAAAGTCTTTGTTAGGATGCATGACAAGATAGATGTAGTCACAGTCTTTGTTAGGATGCATGACAAGATAGATGTTGTCACAGTCTTTGTTAGGATGCATGACAAGATAGATGTTGTCACAGTCTTTGTTAGGATGCATGACAAGATAGATGTAGTCACAGTCTTTGTTAGGATGCATGACAAGCCAGATGTAGTCACAGTCTTTGTTAGGATGCATGACAAGATAGATGTAGTCACAGTCTTTGTTAGGATACATGACAAGCTAGATGCAGTCACAGTCTTTGTTAGGATGCATGACAAGCTAGATGCAGTCACAGTCTTTGGGAGGATGCATGACAAGCTAGATGTAGTCACAGTCTTTGGGAGGATACATGACAAGCTAGATGTAGTCACAGTCTTTGAGAGGATGCATGACAAGCTAGATGTAGTCACAGTCTTTGGGAGGATGCATGACAAGCTAGATGTAGTCACAGTCTTTGTTAGGATGCATGACAAGCTAGATGTAGTCACAGTCTTTGTTAGGATACATGACAAGCTAGATGTTGTCACAGTCTTTGTTAGGATGCATGACAAGCTAGATGTTGTCACAGTCTTTGTTAGGATGCATGACAAGCTAGATGTAGCCACAGTCTTTGAGAGGATGCATGACAAGCTAGATGCAGTCACAGTCTTTGTTAGGATACATGACAAGCTAGGTACAGTTGCATTCCTTTGAGTGAACAATGCAGAAACACAGATAGAGCATATGGTGTGGCGATGATGGTGCAGTGAGGAGAGTGACAAAGGGATCTGGTCCTATCTGATTCAGAGGAAAAGCAAGATAGACATAAAATCAAACTGTTACTGGTGCCTTCAGCTTTGTAACTTTTTGCTGGCTGCTGAAGATGGGGATGGAGTCATTGTGGGAACAACCTGATTGCTTAGATGTTAGCTCATCTCATTTCATCTCCCGAACTGACAGACCTTTTTATATTAGTCATCTTGTCTTTAATTCTTCATTATCTCTTTTGCACTGTGGGTTCTAATGCAAGGACATTCTTGTTAAATATATTTATTTCGGCTATCCTCCGACTAACGGTCGGCAAATATGGCGGCCGTAAAAAATCCAGCCGAGCCACGGTCACGGGTCATGTGTTGTAAACAGTTAAAAATTGAAGTGGAAACTAATAAGGAATGACAAAAATGTTATATCAAATCGACTTCTTACCGATAATTGTATACCTTTATATCTGAAAATTGTGGCACAGAAGTTGTAAATAGTGCCCGAAAATCTGCTGTTTGTGGCTGTTTGCCATTGAAACTTGGCTAAGTACGATCGGAACAAGGTGCGGCTTGTACCGCATTGGTATTGCACCTTTCTTTTTAGTAGCATCCATAGACAGGCTATCCTCTGACTAACGGGTACAAAAGATGGCGACCAAAAACAGGGCCTCACTCACATGTCAATTTCAAACTTCCAGCGACTTTATTTGAAGTTTTCCGGCGACTACTGCCACCGCCGAGAGTAGCCCCCACGCCGCTCATGCGGTGTGGATTGGGGCTAAACTAGATGGCTAGGACTCATGAGCAAAGCTGCAGGAGATGCGGAAGCTGCTGCTCGTGGGTCCTAGTCGTCTAGTTTAGCCCCATCCGCGCCGCACGTAGCGGCGCGGGGGAGACTCTCGGCGGCGAGACAATTTTCTGTATAAGCACTTTTAAAAAAAATCTTTATGTATATGCAGAACGTCTTATCTTTTAAGAATGCACGTTTTTTTTTATCTAAGCACTAAAAAAATTTATGTATGCCCAAAATAAGTTATTTATCAAAACTATATTTTTTATCTTAGCACTAAAAAAAAAACTTTCTGTATGCCTAAAATATTTTATTTATCAAAACTATATTTTTTAACCTTAGCATGTTGACAAATTTTTTTTTTCTGCATGCCAGAAATATTTTATCTATCAAGACTATATCTTTTATTTGTGCTCTTCATTATTTCCCCATTGTTCCTACTATTTCCTGCAGTATTTGCTATTTTTCTTCATTAGTTAGGTATAAACATCATTTTGCATACAAAATTGAAATAATCTTTTCAGGTGTGTGGCCGTCAGAGGAGGTCATGACCTACTACTGCATGCAACATGTGGAGGACTTCAAGTAAGTTCAACATCTTTTTATCATTGATTGATTTTACATTATTCATTGTGATTTATTTTTCAGTATTCATTATCATTTATTTTTCATGATTCGTTGTGATCTTTACATTATTCAGTGTGATTTATTTTTCATTATGATCTATTTTTCATTATTCATTGTGATTTATTTTTCATTATTCACTGTGATCTATTTTTCATTATTCATTGTGATTTATTTTTCATTTTTCATTATGATTTTTTTAAAATGATTTATTGTGATCTTTTCATTATTCATTGTGATTTATTTTTCATAATGATCTATTTTTCATGATTCATTGTGATTTATTTTTCATTATTCACTGTTATCTATTTTTCATTATTCAATGTGATTAATTTTTCATTATTCATTGTGATTTATTTTTCATTATTCGCTGTAATCTATTTATTCACACCCCCCCCCCTCCCCCCTTTCCCCTCAACACTTCGATGAGGTACAAGGTGGAAGAGAAGAAGAAGAAGATTCTCTGTAATTTATTTTGCAACATACATTGGGATATTTTTATGAATTTTTCAATCACATGGGGGTCATGGTGGTGCATCTGCAAACCTAGCATGCTAGCCTAAAGGTAATAAATTTAACTTGCAGCACAAGCAGATTTTTAACAATTACCTGAGTTCTCATTTTGATTTCTGTAGCGGTAATAAATCCATTGCCGGCTTGCTAGGCCTGTCGCAACTTCACCAGAGCCCCGTTGGCTAGGACGTCTCACATACAAAGACAGCAAGTGAAATGGTTTGCCCACTTAGAGAGAATGCCTTGTGACACCATACCATACAAAGCACGGGGTAGACCAAGAACAAGATGGAAGGATAACATCAGAGAAACTCTACAACAGCACGATGTGCCTATGGTCGAGGCAGCCAGAAGAGCTAGAAACAGAACCTTATATCTCCCTCGACATCCACAGCGGTAAAAGAGGAAGTGAAGAAGAAGAAGAAAGAAGAAGAAGACCTGAGTTCTCAGGTAAACCCATCTTACAGGTTTAACTAAAAAAAAATTTGTCCACATCTCTGCAAAAAATGCAAGTATTGATAGTAAATATCGGCACAGCCAAGCATGAGAGGCAAACCGGATGTACAAAAAGATCTTGTTAGCTAGCATAGGACTGGCACAGTTAACCACCAGACACTGATGTAAATGATAAGGGGAAATCTGAGCACCTATGGATGTATCCGGAGTTCTGTGAAGATAACTCAAAATTGAAACTAAAATATGTGCTGGGACATTCAGGTGGCTGGTTTGATGTTGACTATATCCCCCTTTGCTCCCAGGTCGACCCAGCCTTGAGTGGGTACCTGATGCAGTCCCGGGAAGCAGAGGCGACCGGCGTGATGCTGACCACATTACCCATCTTGTGCCGTTGATCTATAAAATATAGGTCTAGCCCTATATGCCAAAGGCGTGGAAAAGGGTCCTCCCAAAAAGTACCCCCCTTTAATTGTCGATTGGTTTATACAAATATGAGACTGGTACCATTAGTGTGGCTAAGGCGTTGCGAGTCTGACTCGTAATCCAATGTACCGCGATCGAAACCTGCGTGGGCTGCGTGGATTTTTATCGTGGTATGGGACGTCACAGGTTGACCCAGCCTCAAATTGGTACCAGGATGGGCTGTCCTGGGAAAGTAAAGACGGCCGGCGTAATGCTGACCACATTACCCACCGAGTGCCGATTGGTCTGTAAAAATATGGGTGCTCTTCCCATATGCCCGATGCGCCTAAGGGCGTGTAAAGAGATCTTTTTTTTACCATTAGTTAGTTAGTTGGGTTATCATCATTGCACTCCAGACATGTCCATAGATGCTCAGATCCTCCCTTCAGTATGAATCTGAGCGTCTGGTGGCTAATAGTACCAGTTCTATGTTGATTAACAAGCCCTTTGATGTGCCTGGTGTGCGTCTCGTTTTTCTGCTATGCCGATCTTTACTCCCAAATCTATTATTTTGGGGAGATGTGGTTTAACTGCCCCCAAAGTCCTCCACCCTTCCCATTTCTCAAAGGGCATTAATAGTATCAGCATGATCCATTGGTTGACCAACGCTAGTGATAGTGGATCCAGCCAACCTATCAGCTCTTTCATTGCCATCGACGCCTGCATATACAGAGTGCACTTCTGTAATGACTCAAGCGACTGCCTTTGCACCGAACCTGTGGGAACTCTCCGGATCATACTCAGTGAATCACTGAGTTCACATGGGCGGGTGTAGTTTTATGTTTTGAGCCACGCAAATGCTTGTGTTACTGCACAGCACTATATGTCCATTAAACCTTTGAATGTAAAAAAAAAAGACTTAACTCTCAATTTTCTAATTCTGCTGTCGCTCACTGTGAGTTTTCTGTGAATTTCCCAATTCTATAAAGGAACCCTTTTCCGTGTCTTCAGGCGTATCGGGCATGTATGCTAGACAAATATTTTATAGACCAGTTGGCACTCAGGGGATGATGTGGTCAGCATAACACAGACCACTTTTACTAGCTACTTTAGTCAAATTTTCAAAATGCCCTCTACACCAATAAAACCAGCACAGTTAGATAGCTGTAAAAAATCTCTTTCCAATGATACCTCATTTAGGCTTGTATGTCATTTCTGAGCTGAGATATGTAGGTTTTTGTGGTGATGAGATGTAAGAAACAGCCGCTAAAACTTGTGACCCAGAAACAAGAAGTTTTTTCTGCGCAACCAACTGCGAAGTTCTGTTTTGGCTTTGTTGACATTGGACTGTCATTGGACAAGATGGCAGGCAATGAGACACAGCCACATGTGATTGCCTGAAAAATGTCACTGTACATCTACCTAGCCACGGTTCAGAAAGAAATGTTATACACAAATGTAAAAATGGACGGAGAATTCAATTATAACTAGCATTACCAGGGCCAGTAACAGTTAAAGCCTAACACCAACCTTGAATACTTACCGAATTTTCAATCAAACTGATGTAACAGAAAAACAGTGCAATTCAGGCTGTCGTAAACTTCTGCTTGTAATCGGGTTCGTTCCCGCCGTTTTCAGCTATTTATAGCTGGTCCAAATTCCCACCAATCGCGAAATTTCGTGAGAGATTTGGACCCATCCGGAAACCAGCCGAGATTTCCCGAACAAGTTTCGAACGGTTTCCGGGTAACGGAAATTGCCGAAAAGACCGCCAATTGCCGAACACCGTAGTCGCTAACTTTTACTTCCCAGGATTTTCATGGTATATTTTTTACCCCAAAAATCCACCTCTGTTCAGATTTGAACCTACAACCTTTGGATCTGCAGGCGAGCGTTTAGCCACAATATCATGACGGCTCCCCCAATCCTGTATATAATCTTTCTATGAATATTCCCAGTCCTCTTAATTCAATGTAATATTTCTAGGAATTTCCCAGTCCTCTGTAGTCAATGTAATATTTCTATGAATTCTCCAATCCTTTTAATTCACTGTAAAATTTTTGTGAATTTCCCACTCCTGTTAGTTCAGTGTTATCTTTCTATAAATATTCCCAGTCCTGTTAATTCAGTGTTATCTTTCTATGATTTCCCTACTTCTATTATGTTAATTCAGTGTTATCTTCCTATAAATATTCCTAGTCCTGTTAATTCAGTGTTATCTTTCTATGAATATTCCCAGTCCTGTTAATTCAGTGTTAACTTTCTATGAATATTCCCACTTCTGTTAATTCAATGTTATCTGTCTATGAATATTCTCAGTCCTGTTAATTCAGTGTTATCTTTCTATGATTTTCCTACTTCTGTTATGTTAATTCAGTGTTATCTTCCTTTGAATATTCCTAGTCCTGTTAATTCAGTGTTATCTTTCTATGAATATTCCCAGTTGTGTTATTTCAGTGTTAACTTTCTATGAATATTCCCACCCCTGTTAATTCAGTGTTATCTTTCTATGAATTTCCCACTCCTGTTAATTCAGTGTTATTTTTCTATGGTTTTCCCAGTCCTGTGCTTTATCCTTCATAAACAGTTGAAACAAAAACACAGTTTGAAGAATTTTGACATCCTGCATGACCTGAACATCAAGGAGAACCTTGCTCATAAGCAGCATTCTGTCCCGAAAGCTGAGATATTTTGAACATATCAAGCAACATGGGGGGGTCTGGAGAGAACAATGATGGAGGGTACAGTTTCCAGAGAATGTGTGTTCGTTTTATTCTGTCAATGTGACTCTGTGGTAGCTGGTATTTGGGCATTATCTAAGGATATTAGTTAGTTAGTTAATCGACAGATTACCCTCGTTGCACATCTGACAAGTCCATAAGCGCTCGGATACATCTTCGTTTATCCCTCGGTGTGTGGTTACTGAAACACCAGTTTATTATTCTTCCTTGGCTACCTGTTTAGTGTTCACTTTTGGCGTCCCCCTTTTTGAGCTGGAGTTTTGTAGTCTTCTGAGTGTTGCCGATTCAACGATTCGCAACATACTACCAGGAGCAGTTGCTGAACATCAACATCTCCAAAAAACAACAAATGTAGATACACTACATTGAAGATGCATTGACTGTGAAAGCACACAGGGCTGGAGAATTAGCTAGAGAGAGAGTGAGACTTTCTGGTGTGTCATGAAGAGTCACATTATGTAAAGGACATGCTGATTGATAGTACAGTAAAGGGCCCTTTTCCATTCGTATAGGCCATATAGGGCTAGACCTATATTTTATAGACCAATCAGCACAAGATGGGTGATGTGGTCAGCATCACGCCGGCCGCCTTTACTTCCTGGGACTGCACCCGGTACCCACTCAAGGCTGGGTCGACCTGGGAGGCACTGCCATTTTTGACAAAAGTCTGGCTTCCCCAGGGAGCGAACCCACCACCTTCCGATCCACAGTGAGCGTCTAGCCACTCCACCACGGCGACTATGCTGATTGATTGTCTTCTAAGTTCACATTAATTTTGACATTGTATTTGGTACAGAGGACAGAGAGTTTGTGAGCTTGGAGGAGGGATGACATGCCTAGCTGGCGTTGCAGTAAGTTTTCATATTATTATCTTTGTTAATTTTGTGATTGTGAATCTCCTCTTGACCTCCTCTTCTTTATTTTGCACACTTTAAAAGAGTAAGTAAAGTTAAAGAACCTTTTTCCACCCCTTCAGCTGTATTGGGCATATAGGGCTAGACATATATTTTATAGACTAATCGGGACTTGATGGGTGATGTGGTCAACATCACACCAGCTGCCTTTACTTCCCAGGACTTTTGCCTGGTACCCATTTAAGGCTAGGTCGACTGGGAGCCAAGGTCATTTTTTTAAAAGTCCAAAACCATCCAGAATTAAAGAAAGAGTATGTTACATTCGATTTTGCACTTCTCTGTCTCAAGCATAAATATGGCTGTTTACGATATTATATATGTGAGATTTTCCAGTCTGATATGGTGGATAGATGGGCTGACTGACTGACTGATGTTTTACCCCCACCAGGATATCACACCGAGCAATAAACACCTGTGACACAAAGTGCCACCATTCTGATGATCATCACCTGGGGACAGGTCCCAGAAACCCCGTTCAACCCATAGGTTGGGTAATATTAGGGCCCTCGGCAACAGCCAGGGTAGGTCAGTAGCCCAGCTACTGAGTTGAGTGCATGGTGCAACGCTGTATATTAAGATTTTATATGAAATGCGGCTCTCCTTCGAACCCCCATATTATAGTGGCCAAACAAATACCCTAACAGAGCCTCAGTCGTTTGTAAAATGCGGACTTCCTCAAAATGGGGTCCAAAAACCTACGCAAGGAAAGTTGAGTTTGAATCTAGACCGGCAAGTTTACTATCTATTTTTCTGCCTCAACTTGTTATGATGTGTTGACTGTGAAAGTCCTCATGACATAATTATTCCACAGCTAATTTTGATCCCTTTTTTTTTTCCAGATAGGGTTATATGCTGAGGCAACTCACGTAGAGCTGACTGATGGAAATGAACAGTCTGTGACAAGTAAGTTGCTAAACAATATGGCATGTAAGTTGCTAAACAAATGACATGTAAGTTGCTTAACAAGTGAGAAGTAAGTTGTTAAACAAGTGACTAGTAAGGTGCTAAACAAGTGACATGTAAGTTGCTAAACAAGTGACATGTAAGTTGATAAACAAGGGACTCGTAAGTTGATAAACAAGTGACAAGTAAGTTGCTAAACAAATGACATGTAAGTTGCTTAACAAGTGAGAAGTAAGTTGCTAAACAAGTGACAAGTATGTTGCTAAACAAGTGACAAGTAAGTTGCTAAACAAGTGACTAGTAAGTTGCTAAACAAGTGACTAGTAAGGTGCTAAACAAGTGACATGTAAGTTGCTAAACAAGTGACATGTAAGTTGCTAAACAAGGGACTAGTAAGTTGCTAAACAAGTGACTAGTAAGGTGCTTAACAAGTGACATGTAAGTTGCTAAACAAGTGACATGTAAGTTGCTAAACAAGGGACTAGTAAGTTGCTAAACAAGTGACAAGTAAGTTGCTAAACAAGTGACAAGTAAATTGCTAAACAAGTGACATGTAAGTTGCTAAACAAATGACAAGTAAGTTGCTAAACAAGTGACAAGTAAGTTGCTAAACAAGTGACAAGTAAGTTGCTAAACAAGTGACAAGTAAGTTGCTAAACAAGTGACAAGTAAGTTGCTAAACAAGTGAGAAGTAAGTTGCTAAACAAGTGACAAGTAAGTTGCTAAACAAGTCACAAGTAAGTTGCTAAACAAGTGACAAGTAAGTTGCTAAACAAGTGACAAGTAAGTTGCTAAACAAGTGACAAGTAAGTTGCTAAACAAGTGAGAAGTAAGTTGCTAAACAAGTGACAAGTAAATTGCTAAACAAATGACAAGTAAGTTGCTAAAAAAATGACAAGTAAGTTGCTAAACAAGTGACAAGTAAGTTGCTAAACAAGTGACAAGTGGGTTGCTAAAAAATGACAAGTAAGTTGCTAAACAAGTGACAAGTAAGTTGCTAAAAAAGTGATAGAAAACATGTAATTAGATGAAATAACACATGTAAGAATGTGTGAGCTTGGAATTAGGTGAGGATCCGACAAGGAGGAGCGTATGAGAGGAAGAGAACGACGTATGTATTATTAGTCTGCTGCAGGATAGCATCTCCACCTCAAGACATTTGCTGAGGGGGGAGGGGTTTCTCTGTCCGATGTGTGATGATGTTGATTCTTAAATCAGTAATTGTTTCACTGTTTCTGCTTGCAGATTTGTGGAGTATAATAGAGGGTAATGACTTTGGAGCAACAGTCGTCAATGCAAGGTGATTTGATCTTTTCTGTCACTCATTTGATTAAATGCCGGGGTAATTCAATGGTTAAGGCTTTCACCTGTCAGCTCACACCTGGGGATTTTCCTGAGTACAGTGATGTCAGTTCTTGACTGATTCGTTCATTTCTAATCATCTTTTATGAGATGCCTATAAGATTCAGTTCTTTATTAATATCCTACCCAAAACAGGAAAAATCCACAGGTCACGGGACAGTCTAATATTTCAGGGGGTGATAGACAGGCTGCATGCAGTTGTGGGACCTAGGCTGCATGCACTCGTGGAACCTATGCTGCACTCTCTCGTAGGGCGTAGGTGGGTTGGGCTAAGGGCCAGTTCTAGATGTTTTGGGGTCATTAAGAGCATCAAAAAGCCAATGAAACTCAGTCTTACCACCCTATAGAATGTTGGACTTTCCTGTGACGTCATCTGAGATACAACATTAATAAAAAATTCCTCATGACCCCTCCAGTGCATGGGCTCACTCGCTGACAGCCCGATTATGTAGCTTTACTTTATGTAGCTTTACTTTATGTTATATTACTAAATGTTACTTTACTGTATGTTGTTTTACTTTATGTTGTTTTACTTTATATTACTTTACTTTATATTGTTTTACTTTATGTAACTTTACTTTATATTGCTTTACTTTATGTTGTTTTACTTTATATTGCTTTACTTTATATTGTTTTACTTTACTTTATGTTGCATTACTTTATGTTGTTTTACTTTATGTTACTTCACTTTATATTGTTTTACTTTATGTAACTTTACTTTAAATTGTTTAACTTTTGTTACTTTACATTACTTTGTTTTGCTTTATTTTGTTTTTTTTACTTTACTTTTTTTTTGTGTCGTCTCACTGTTACCAGGTTGTAGCCCTGTGGTTTTCTGTATTTGTCTTAAGCTTCTCAGGGGGCTTGGGTGATGGATTTGTTCATATTTTTGCAGGTTTCATCTGCATCATTTATCCATCTTTCTTGGTCTTCCTTTCGCCTTCCTCCCAGATGTTCTGTAAAAAGTCTCATATACAGTTTGATCTAGCTGCATCCTCACTAGATAGCCGCACCATTTTACTCTTAGTCTGTCAATATAATCCAGGCATGATCTTATTCCGACTTTTTTCTCTAATGCTGGTGGTATTCAGTACCCTGTCCCTTCTTGTGTTGTTAGGGACAGCACATTTCATATGTAGTTCTATTCTGTTCTAGTGCCTTATTCATTGTCCGTGTTTGGCACTGATAACACAAAGTAGGGGATAAAGATGCTATTGTTTATGTGCTTTTTTTTTGACGGAAGGGAGACATTTGGGTGTCTAAGCAGTGTTGCTAACTGGTAGGTGACAGCATTTGAATTCTGTGCTCTGTTGAGTCTGCCATCCTCTGTAAATATGCTTCCTAAATGTTTGAATTCTTGTACTTGCTTTGCTTTATTTTACCTTACGTTACCTTAATTCACTTTATTATTTGACTTGACTTTAGTCTGTTTTGTGATGACTCTTTGGCAGGCTGCTCCGCTGGGGGAAAACAAAAGTAGAACCAGAACTGGAGTCGATGTTCGACACTATCATCTGTGCTGACTGGTGTGTACTACATTTTTAGTTACAAATTTCATTAACTGGCTGCATTATACCTGGTGACCATTATACCTTGAGCTGAAAATGGGACATCCCAAGCAAGTCAGGTTCCCCCCCCCCCCCCCCCCCCCCCCCCCCCCCCCCCCCCCCCCCCAATTGTTTACTATAATTTTTTATTGTTATTAATCATTAAGGATCTAATATAAGTTAAAGACTTATTCTTAGATTTTTTTATTGATGGGACAATGGGTGTATTTTTTTTAATAATTTCTGGAAAGGGGGTGGGGTAGTACTGATGGGCTAACAGCCTCAATGAAGATAGGATGTATGGTCACCCTTTGAATAATTGGTTTACTAGACTCTACTGGCTTAAAGGTCATGGATTTGAATGCATATTGGGGATGGATTTATATAATTAACCTAAGGCGCCCATGTCGACATAGCCTTAAATGGGTAACAGGAACATTATAATTATTATGGTGTTATTGTTATACTGTAATATTTGTTAACATTATGTTGATCACATCACCAGTCAGGTTCTAAATGGTCTTCCTCTTCTTCTTCTGTGTTCGCCACTGCCACATCAGGGCCTTTTGGCCCAACAAATGCTTTTTAAGCACTCCCCTAATTAGTTCCACTTTACAATATGCTTGTTAAAGGGCAGTGGGTCTTTACACCCCCTCCCCCCCCCCTTCCCCGCACCACCACTTAGGGCCCCCAGAACTCACATGGAGAATTCTGAATGATTGTCTGTACAAGTATCCCTCATTCTTCTTCTTCTTCTTGTGTCATCTCACTGATACCAGGTTGTAGCCCAGGTTTTCTGTATTTGTTTTGCGCTTCTCGGGTCTTGTGTGGTGGATTTGTTCTTCTTTAGGCAGGTTTCTGCTACACCATTTATCCATCTCTTTCTTCTTGGTCTTCCCCTCGCCTTCCTCCCAGATGTTTTGCTGTAAAAAGTCTCATATGCAGTTTTGGTCTGGCTGCATTCCCACTAGAAGGCCGAACCATTTCATTCTTTGTCTGTCAATATAATGTTATTCCGACTTTCTCTCTATTGCTGGTATTTGTAACTGTGTCTCGTCTAGTATTGTTAGTGACCTTGCGGGGACAGTGCATTTCACATGTAGTTATTTTCTGTTCTAGTGCCGTATTCATTGCCTATTATATGTGATTCAATCATTATGAGTGACACGAAAACACATAAAGAAATAATTTAAATGTGCATTGTATAAAAAGTTTAAAAGGGGGAAACAAAGATTTCAATCTTTACAGTGATGTACTACTTATTTCAATCTTTGCAGTGATGTACTACTTATTACAATCTTTACAGTGATGTACTACTTATTTCAATCTTTACAGTGATGTACTACTTATTTCAATCTTTACAGTGATGTACTACTTATTTCAATCTTTACAGTGATGTACTACTTATTTCAATCTTTACAGTGATGTACTACTTATTTCAATCTTTGCAGTGATGTACTACTTATTTCAATCTTTACAGTGATGTACTACTTATTTCAATCTTTACAGTGATGTACTACTTATTTCAATCTTTACAGTGATGTACTACTTATTTCAATCTTTACAGTGATGTACTACTTATTTCAATCTTTGCAGTGATGTACTACTTATTTCAATCTTTACAGTGATGTACTACTTATTTCAATCTTTACAGTGATGTACTACTTATTTCAATCTTTACAGCGATGTACTACTTATTTCAATCTTTACAGTGATGTATTACTCTAGTAACTGTTAAATTGCCCTAATAATTGGAGTTTTTTGTGATCATCCTGTGCTACTTACTTTTCTATTACTAACAAGTCATTGCAACACTCTCATGTGTGCACAGTTACCTTCATATTCGTCCCAGGGCATGCAGGTGTTGTTGGTAATGAAAGAGTTGATAGACTGTCCGGTGCTGCATTAATTGAAGATGGCCGGCCTATGGATCACGCAGACTTGTCATTGCCCTTAGAGAGATAGGACGTTCTGAGAATTTTGGAAGCAACGTGTCCACATCACTGCTAAGAATACGAAAATTGGGAGTAAAGATTGGCACAGCCAAGCATGAGAAGCACACCGGACGCACACAAAGTCTTGTTAACCAACATAGAACTGGTACTATTAACCGCACAACGCAGATGAATATGTTGAGAGGGGAATCTGTGCACCTATGGATGTGTCCGGAGTGATGAGAAGATAATCTAAATCATAACTTTTAACTCATTACCAACAAGTCTGATCAACTGAATCATTACACTAATTTATTTCAGTTTGTTTTTTGACGACTGCAGAGATGATCTAGCCAGTTTCATCTATGACCTGCTGAAGCCAGGGGTGAGTCTAGAATTATCTGGTCATTTTCAGTAGAAATGGAGGCAGTTGAGAAAGAGGCAAGCAATGCTGGATTTAGGCATCAACTAAATAAGGTACACTTTGGTGCCTCACAGTGTGCTAGGCCCTCGGAAAAAAAAAATTTCTCTGAGGACATAATGAAGGATTTAACAATTGTGAAATCAAGAAGAAAAATGGTTCTTTCCCACGACCTTCAGGCCAGCAAGCAGCATATCTATCCACTACACCACTATGGCTGTCCTTCATGACAGTTGTTTGACTGATTGATTGATGGGGCACTTGATGGTTACAAATTAATCTGCTGTCTCATGTGGGTGGGTTGATAAGAAGAAACTCCACAGGGGAGCATGTACAGCAGGAGTCTACCAATCATCAGTAGAAGTGATCTCTCGTCGACATACGTTTCAGCCCACGAGCTCCTAGGAATAGTTACTATTACTGTCCCCCCTGTGTGGTTTGATAGCTTGAATCAAGTTGCAAAATTCATGTTATATTTGCAGTGAAAACTTGTTAACATGAAATCCAAGGGACCCCCCAAAGAAAACTAAAAAGAGTTTGTGTGTTTTAAACAAATAATTGTGCTCACTGGGGATTAGTCATCACCGTCAGGGGGCGGGACCTTTACAGAACATCACTGTCTTCATGGTACGCCTAAAATAATCTCTTTCTGTAGCCATTTCTTTAAAATCTTGTGTGCTTTCATTGCCAATGTATCTTTAGTGTCTTATATCAACCTTTGCCAAGATCAGAGTATCTGCTTAATTTTCTTGTATTGCAATGCATCTTTGTGTCTTGTATCAACCTTTGTGAAGATCAGCATGTGCTTTATTTTCTGGCCCTATGTGCTTTCATTGCCAATGCATCTTTAGTGTCTTGTATCAACCTTTGTGAAGATCGGCATGTGCTTCATTTTCTGGCCCTGTGTGCTTTCATTGCCAATGCATCTTTAGTGTCTTGTATCAACCTTTGTGAAGATCGGTATGTGCTTCATTTTCCAGCCCTGTGTGCTTTCATTGCCAATGCATCTTTAGTGTCTTGTATCCACCTTTGTGAAGATAAGCATGTGCTTTATTTTCTGGCCCTATGTGCTTTCATTGCCAATGCATCTTTAGTGTCTTGTATCCACCTTTGCGAAGATCAGCATGTGCTTTATTTTCCAGGCCCTATGTGCTTTCATTGCCAGTGCATCTTTAGTGTCTTGTATCAACCTTTGCGAAGATCAGCCCTTGCTTCGCTTTCCGGAAACTGAACCCTTCAGTCGCCATTCTCTTTAGGCGACCTTGATGCTGAACGTGGCTAAAATATTTCAGCTGACGGGACAGGATGTTGTTTATGAGCCAATTCTCCTCAATGTTCAGATCTTTTAGGGTGTCAATATTTTTTTTCTTCTTGGTTTATCCAGAGACTAACATACTATGATAATAAGTTTATGTCCTGCCAGGTCACAAATTTGGTTCATGTTGACCGGGTGTTCGTCTTAAGTGAGTTTGTATTGATAAGATTTCACTGTATTTATTTCCTTATGTTTCTGTGTTATATGTGCAGGGTCAGGCACTGATATTTGCTCCGTCGAGAAGCAAAACTTTTCACAAGTTTGTGGGCGTGGCTGAGAAGTTATTCCTGGTTATGGTGGATGGAGAATACGACAGGAGGGTGTGGAATTTACATCAGGCAGTGAGTCATGTGTACATTTTTTATTGTCTTCGTCTTCTTCCTTTCTCTGTTTTTGCTGATCATCAGCTTTTAGAAATCCTGTTATATCATCAAGACTTAAAGTCTTCTTCTGTTCTTGGTATTTGCTGAGTGTCGGCTCTAAGAAATCTTTTTGTATCATCAAGACTATTAGCATTCTTCTTCACTTCCTCTTTAACCACTTCGAGCATCGAGGGAGATATAAGATTCTTGCTTTTCTGGCTGCCTTGACTATAGACACATCATGCTGTTGTAGAGTTTCTCTGTATATTTTGTTTAACTTGTCCTGGTTTTATCTCTTCTTATCACTCTTGCAGCCCTTCTCAGACATCTCATTTCCAAGGTTATTAATTTTTGTTTCTGGTTTGTTGTAAGTGACTATATCTGGCATTGGTAGAATAGTGTTTGAATAAATATGTATTGAAGGAGATGTTTCTTTTTCCTGATTTGGATTGTCTTGTATTTTTTTTTAAGTGGGGGGGGGGGGGGGGGGGGCGTAGCTGACCAATACTTGGTTTAATTTACTGTATCGGATAATAATTTCTTCATCTAATTTGCAATCTTTCAGTGAATGTTGTTTTCAGATATTTAAACTCAGATGCTTGTTTTATGCCTTTGTGCTCTACTGCTGTATTTAGAAAGTATTATAGCATGTCTTGGAATCTTGGAAATGGCGGTTTGAGGTGACATGTTGTTAGAAAATAAATGTTGAATTAAGAATTGACATCACAGCACTCGGGACACCCCCAAAAGTAACTCCGTCCCCATCTCAGCAGAAGAGTGAAGAGTTCCAATTTCAATGGCACCAGTTACTGTCTGATTGTATAGCCACCTCGCCTTTCCCCTGAGTGTTGAGCGTCTGCCAGATTCCCTGATAACTCCTTGCAGGGCCTTGTCCTCAGACCGTAAAGATCTATCTGTGCCCTCTCACTGTTCTGTTACTCGCAAAGAGTCCTCACAACATCCAGCCTAGGAAAATGGAAAAGGGGGAAGATCTTTCTTACCTTTTGTTCACTGTAACTGGTAAATCCAATATGTAATGAAAATGAAATTGGAGGCACACATTTTTTTTACTGCTGGTGAGGTAAAAGCAAAATCAAATACTTCCTCCAGCCAGAGGAAAGCAGTTGCCAATGAAGGGAAGTTGAAGTATGTGGATTGGACTGTTAATGATCGGTGCATATTGTGTGGAGTTGAAAAGGTGGGTTGAATAGATTTCTGCCAAAGCAAAGTTTTCAAATTAGAAAAGCTGTCCAGAAAAAGCGGTGAACTTGACCATCTGAGATTGAGTGAATGATGATGCTGTCAGACAGATTGTGGGAACACCTTGCACCAGATTTTTTAGAAACAGATCAAGTGGTTTGACCAAGTTGTTAGAATGCAGCAATACCAAATACCATCACGGGCACTACAACACAGAAGATCAGCTACAAGAGCAAGAGGGCGGCACGCGTACGCACATACACACCCAATGACAGCACTAAAAACACTTTATGCCTTCACAGTATGACAATAGCCAGTGCCAGCCAGCGTGCATTGGATCAGAAATTATTCCTCCCCACGCCCCTTAACAGCAGAAGGGGTTTATTATAATGATGTTGATGATGATCCATGCCCCCCTTCCCCAAAAAAAGTTAAAAGTTTTTCACACACCAAAAAAAAAAAAAATTAGATATTGTGCCTTATGGGATTACTGAGTAAACATATTTCTTTGTCGTCACTGGCACTCTGAAGCCTCTACACTGTGTTGAGATTCTCTGCATATGATCTGCTGAAGAAGACTGAACCACTTAGGGAGATAACCTGTCAGTAGTGAAAGTGATCCCATACAGACTAAACTTATCTCATTCTTTTTTTTTTTCTTTTAAATTTCAGATGCTGAAAAAGTATCCAGATGTGTATGATGATGACCTCCATTTTCCGATCTTGATGAAACTAACAAAGCCATTGTCATTGTCTCGAGATGTCACTCCAGAGTCTAGATAATACCTTCAGTTTTTCTTTAGCATGCCCCCTGCTGGGGTTGATTTGAATCATCTCCTGAGGAGAATCTCTTGTATCCTGTTGAACTTAAATATTACAGACTATGGATGCAGTTGTTGATCATTCAGTTTAGTGTGTTGAGTACATACATCATCTAGACAGAACTTGCAACTGCCCAGCCAACCATAGCATTCTGTCTGTCTTGGGTCATCTGAGAAGAATCTTCTGTATTTTGTTGAAACTAAATGATGAAATTTGTCTGTCCTAAAAAAATTTAGATGTAGATCACAGTTGTTGATTCAGTTTGTGGTTTGTCCTTGCTACAAAAATGTATATGTAGATCACAGTTATTGATTCAATTTGTGGTTTGTCCTTGCTAAAACAAAAATGTAGATGTAGGTCACAGTTATTGATTCAGTTTGTGGTTTGTCCTTGCTACAAAAATGTAGATCACAGGTATTGATTCAGTTTGTGGTTTCCTCCTGAAATGGTATTGACATAAATCAAATGTAGATGTAGGAAGTCTTCCTAACAAAATGTTAGTAAATATAAAGGACCCTTTTCCATGCCTTCGGGTGTATTGGGCACATAGGGCTAGACCTATTTTTTAATAGACAATCTGCACATGGTGGGTAATGTAGTTAACATACGCTAATCACATTCCCAGGACTTTACCTGGTATCCATTTAAGGCTCTCTCAACCTGGGAGCCAAGGACATTTTTTTTTTATTCCACCTTTATGCAGATTTGAACTCACAACCTTGAGATCCACAGGCGAGAGTCTAGTCGCTACACTATGGTGGTCTTCACCCCCCTCTGCTCCCCCCCCCCTCCCCCCCCCCAACAAAATTTAGATGTAGATTGAAGGTATATTTATACATTTTGTGGTTTATCCCTCACAACCAGAATAAAGATGTAGATCACAAATATTGAACATTATGCAAATGGTTTTGTTACCCATGCTCCTAGAATGCAGTTGATGAAATGCAGCACTTATAAATCTTATCATTGATTCTGTATCAGGAATATTTGCAAAAACAAGGGCTTACTTATGGATGCTGTCACATAATATTTTTTCCCTAGACTACCTCACCATAATGTGTTGCTTTATAGTTTGATGCATTCTCCAGAAATCTTTCAGATTTTGCAGTGAATTGTTTAAAACAATTTTCAGTCTTATCTCAAAGACATTGGCTGTTTGACTTTTCATGAGCATTTTAAAAATAACTGCCGAGATTTTTCATGTTCTTTTTTCTTCCTAAGAATATTATCAAAATTATCTCTCAGAATTTCCAGCAACTTTTATAAGAATACTCTCAGAAAAATTTCAAAAAATGTTTTAAGGCAATCATTTAATTGCCTTAGAATTATTCTCCAGTTGTTCCAGTTTTACTCTTTTCAACCTTTTCCTAATGACCTTTCATATTTCCTACTTTAACTTTTCAAGATCACAATTCTTGCTCCTAGACTGTCGTCTGCTCTAGATCACATTGTGTTCAGCAAAATATGTGGCACTGGTAATTCTGTTCAGGGGAAACTAATCCCATTGTGTTTCTGTCATTGTCTTTTGTCTTCTGTTGAAGCGTAGACGCTCATCCAACTCATGCCAGACTTTTCTAGCTTTTGCAGCCTTCTTCAGGTTCCTATGTTGTTTCTGTGACAAAAAATAAAAAATTTTCTGCACATATTTTCTCATTTATTTCCTGTGTGAAGTCTGGAGATGACATTATTTTCTGCTGATGTTATCTCAGTGTGGTATTTTCCAAATGGAATCTGCAGATTCTATCTCATTGCATTGTCTCCTGTGTAAAATCTGCAGGTGATATCTCTTTTATTTCCTGTGTGAAGTCTGAAGATTGGATCATCTTTGAGCAGGTGATATCTCTGTTACTTATTATGTGAAGTCTACAGATGATATCTTTATATGTTGTTTCCTGTTTAGAGTCCACAGTTGTCTGCCAAGTCCCTTCTGTGGCACCTAGTGACACGTGTCATTTCTATGTTAGTCTGCACACTGTGGTTTCTTTGCATCATTTGTACACATCCCTTTGTGGATCCTGGGACCCTGTTGTGGGGAAAACAGGGATAGACCCACTACCTCCCCAACAAGCATGTCATAAGAGTCGACTGGGAGCAACCTTTGAAGTGGGAGTGCATCTGCCCAAGAGGCAAGTAACCAAGATTCGATATACAAATAAGCTAAATCTGTAAAACTGATGTGCACGCAACACTCAGGTTCTAAAGTCAGGAGTTTTTCAGCCAGGTAACGCGAAGAAGGAGAAGATAACATTTATACGCATAAGTCGTTACTATTAAATTGTTGAGGCTATAGTGGTCTGTTCCTGTATTCCTTTGTTACAGACAAATCCCTGGTTTGTGACCTTCAAAAGTCTTCCAGCAGCTGCTGTTTGGGCAGTTAGCTCATTACTTTTGCCTCCCTTGTATAGAAAGTATTGGGAAACAACATTGAATAATTTGACTGGTTCTTTTTTTTTGTTCTCGATTGTACTTTGCCATTTTTATGAAGTGAAAATTGCCGAGTCCCCAAAGATCCAAAGTATGCTGTTTAAAATCGTTCTTTCTACTACCCTTGATCTTTCTCAACAGAAGTTACTTGCCACTTGACCACATCTGCTCGAAGCAATCCAGTCTATCTTCCCCACCTTGACCTGGACTGGAGTAAAGATCAGCACAGCCTTGATCTTTCAGAGTTTGCTACAATTATGACATGTGTATGCTTCTTATTCTCTAGCGTCTGTGGCTTAGAGGTTAATAAACGTGTTTCACGAACTTTGCCACAGCTGGGATTGATTATCTGTGGCAGGCAGTTAGGGGAAAAAAAACCTTTTCATGGTTTTTAAACGGCTGTATGAGGGGAGCTTGAAATCAAAACCTTAAAAGTGTTATAGAAATTACGGCAAACATTTTGTTGTCTTGTAACCTGTCAGTATTGTTCTTAAGCATGTCTCAAGTATTAAGCATGTGACATAGCAGTGCAGTCAAACGTGGTGACGTTTAAATGACAGTCTAAAAGATGTCCGCCCCACTTTTGATATGCACAGAAGAGGAGCAGCATTCTGTTATCCGGTTGTTTTTATCAGTGGAAAAAGGTCCTGTATAGTGATGCGTGCCTGTCCGTCTAGCAAGTGTATGAATTCCATAGAAAGGATTGTGAGATCACCACATAATATTCTCAGTGTTTAGGTTTTGAACAACCGATCAACATCATGGCACATGGGTAGTGTACTCTCGGCAGTGCTCCTTCTGTGGATAGACTCCGAGTCGTGTCTAAAAAACCCTCAGCACAGTAATGTTGATCCTCTCAACTCCGACGAGGATCCTGAAATACTTTTGTTTCATATTTTTCAAAAAATTTTGCCCGAACTGCATCTAGGCTACTCTTTTATTTTTATTAACAAAGGATTTATTACTTGCTTTCTCTATGAATTAACATCAACCAAAGACCGAATAATACTAGAAACTAAGTCCACATGAAAAATCTTACTCCCTTACTGGTGATGCCCGAACCTCTATATTTTTTTCAGACACCATGCCTCACAAACGCAGCTGCCCTGTATTCTCGTAGTTACTGTTAGTGCATATAATGTTTGGAGTTGCGGAGTATACTCTCGGCATGTGGCTTGCCATTCTGTGGATAGAGACCGAGCCGTATGGGATGTGGAGTAATGTTGATCCTTCAACTTTTAAACATTATTTGTTGTTTCAGATTTTTACCCCACCCGGACTGCATCACACAAGCGATAAACATTACGATGACACAATCAGCTGCCACCATGCGGATGAGGATCGTCGTGGAGAGGTATGCAAAAACACCGTGTCGTTCAGACAATGATGCCAGATTTATATGACCTGCCTATATTGCGGCCCCTGGCAAAAATCATGGTGGGTTACTGTTCAAATAACGAAAAATTTCGTCCTAAAAATGTTTTGGAAGTATGAAATATGATATTTAAAACATTCAGTCGGCTTTAACTTATATATGTAAACACTTGGAAATAATGAACTCTTAACTTTAGCACTTTACATTTTAATTATACATGTAAACGCTTGGAGATTTTAACCTTAACACTTTAATTATGTATGCACACACACACACATATAATTAGAACTATTAACACTTAACACTTTAATTACATATGTAAATACTTGGAAATAATAACCTTACACTTTTACAACTGGAAATATTTACACCTGAAATGTTAACTGCTTGTGGAAATACTCAGAAGTACTGAACCCTAAACTTTAATAATGTAAAACCCATTCGAAATAATTAATCCTGAAACTGTTGTTATGTTGAAACGACTTTAACTATATGTAAACAATTGGAAATAATCCTTAAACTTTAACCACTTGTTTTCATTTTCTTGTCAGTCACAAATATATTTTGGTGTGAAAATATATTTGCTAGGAAAATGCTACCCAGAGGAGATTAGTTTTGCGGTCACCTTGTGAAAACACAGTGTAGTGTTTGTTGCTTGTCATTTTAACATAACCACCATCAGCCATCTTGTTAATACTTGTCAGACGAAGAATGATGGTATAATGTAAATCTAAGTGCTGTATATTTTTTTTTTTTTTTTTGTGGGGGGGGGGGGGGGGGGGGGCAGAATTTAACAGAATTAAATAATAATCCATATAGTTTTTTGAAATTTTAATGAATGATTTTTTTTTCTGCTTAATTATTAGTGATAATTTTGAGCCAAAATGGCTTTTCTGTTTGGCCACATGATTGGTTTTTTATTTTATTTGGGGGATGGGGGTTGTTAATTACTGTTTTTTTTTTTAATGTGTGACTAAAATTCTTTTGTTTACTGTTACTGATGTATTATTTTTAAAACTGGTTTTTTTCTATATGACTCACGATTTAAAGTAAACGTTAAATTTTTACCACGGCCAAATTCAATTAAAAAAATCCTGTCTCAAAATGCTCCAAATTACATTTTCTGGTTGATTCGATCCAATCCTACGAATAGCTAGCGACT